AAGTGAGCCCGGAAGCTAAAGAATCTTCACTGTTAGAAGCCGTTGCCAGGGAGGGGCTGGTTAAGACACAGCAGGCTGGGAAAGCTTACCGTGTGTAACAGTAAATTGTAAATTGTGAAGATCAGTGACAACGCTGCAAATATTTTTATTTCTGAGTGGTGTGTATAAGTTGGGCAATGAATCCAGTATCAAAACCATACCCCGTCTATAGTCTCACACACCAAATACGTGACAATATGTAGACACACTGTGAGTACGGGTAAGACGCCCGAGACGGCGAAAACATGGATCTGAAGATTTTGACGGAGTAAACGTTTTCAGTTTGTCTCTGTTTCGATATCTGTGCATGTGCGGCCCGCTAGCGCCTGCGAAGTTGTATAGATTCTATGCATATTCATTACTCAAGAGTTTATCCGTCCTATAGTCCATTCGCGGAGACGAGACAGTCAGCGTAAACAAAGCAAGCCCCGCGTCGCCACAGCTGACAGCAAGGAGTGGACAAAGCGCGCAGTTACTCAGTGTACTCATTGCATTCGGACGCACGTTAACCTGCATTCAGACTGAAGTGTGAACTTTGGACGCCCCTGCAACGGGACACGCATCACGTGATCGCTGCATGAGTTCATTCATAGAGCGAAGGAGATACCGCGTGCATTTGTTTACGAGGACTCTCTCGTCTCCGCGAATGGACTGTAGACTTGTGCCCGGTGAATATGAACATTGTGGGTCCAAAAGTAGAGACAATCCAAATGGGCCAAAAAAGAATAGAAATATGGATTTTCTGGAAAGCAGCTGTAATTATTTTGTTTAAATTTTAGTAATGTATGGAAACCATCTCCCCCAAATAAAACTGCAGAGGGGGTATCTTCGGGAAAGTAACGCACGCGCACTAGGGGCCCAAATGAGAACGTATATGCAGTGTGTTTGCACACTCACTTCATCTGTGAGAGACAGTTGCCTCTCCAGCAGGGGGAGCAGTTTCGGTGGATCCGAGATATGTTTTGTGAGCACCAGAATGGAAATCCCGAGAAATAAAAATGTGAGTCGACCTTCAGTCAGTTCGCCAACTTCTGAACAGAGCAACAACCCGAATTTTCCATGTAGCATACCCACAAAAATCAGCGATTATTTTCCTGTACAACGCTAACATATCCTTTGTTATGGAGATACCATTTTTTTCATTAAGAATTAACAAAAGGTAAAGTTATCCCTGTAACAGGCCTTGAAGGCCCATACGTTTGTGAGACGTCGAGGCTCACACATTTTCTAGACAATCGCCTCACAGATGGCAGTGAGGTCAGCCCTACGCGCCGGCCGCCCTTTACCCCCCCCCCTGAAGATTCCTGGTACTCATTTGTGTTAGAGGCTGAGTCGAACCTAGGGCCATTGTGCGGTTGGAGGGATTAGATCAATTGATAAATCCAGTGACTTAAACGGAAATAGAACCCGTGACCTTCCGGCTTATAGCATAGTGCCGCGTGCCCCCGACTGCAAGATAAGTTCTCTGTAAAAATATAAAGGTCGTTCAGATGAATTTAAAGATTTTAATAGTTAAATTTGTAGTTCATATGTTCATGTTTTGCTTGTGCCTGTGGCTCGAAATACGTGTCAGACCTCTCGAATAACACTTTAAGTAGAAATTAGCAAGCGAATGCGACGGTTCGTGTTTCACATATGCGAAACAATGTTTAAGCAGCCTAAGCCACTGAGTAACTCCATACTCTTCCTTTAACCTCTTAAGGGTTAAAGTCCGTCATCATAGAAGTTGGACTTTCCTTTAAATGGGAGACACAACCTCCAGTGAAGCTATCATTGTCAAGTATTTTTTGGGGAGGGGGAAATTAATTGATATCGGCCATTTTGTCTCAGAGATGATTCATGCGCTCCAATGACAACTTTCCAGTTTTGGTCACCCTGCAAATAATTCGACAATGTGTGTCTTTTTCATTATTAGCTCCCAACAATACGTTTTATTGTGAAGAGAGTCATAATGAATTCCATGCGTCAAAGCGGCCATCTTGTTGACGTCAGTGGTTTCGATTCTGTACACACTCACGCCCCGAAAAGACTCAGCATATTTTGCGATGTTCCGGCTAAAACTTCCTTTTGAAGGAATATTCATGTATGTTATTACGACAGTGATGCTGTATCATAAACCACCTTCATTTCTCGGATTCGGACTAATTTATCTATTTAGTAATTCCACATCTCGAATGTGAGACAATAAAACATGGTCATGAGTCCCGCGGGGCTCGAACTTGAGAATAACTGCGTTGGCGAGGGCCAGCAGCAATTCTAAACGACAGACCTGTCCTCTCGTGAGAGAGGATGTTGCATAAGGACTATGACCGCAAGCGATCTTTTGGGGAAAAAATACTGGTCGTGAGTCTCGAAGTATTTGCCGCCAAAACGAACTGATTGGTCATAAACCGCCAGTCGTAAAGTAACTCTGACTCTGACACTGACTCTGGCTCAGGCTTCAAATTAGCTACACGTGATAAAATGAAGTACTTTGTTAACATGCGCGAGAAACCATGGGATATGTTTCTGCGGCGAAGGGTGGAGAAGATGAGCATGACAGGGAGCCTGAGTGCGTAAGAAGAAAATGAAGAGGAGTAGAGAGAGACAATACAAATAAATAAATAAGCAAATTAAAGAAAAACAGAAATTGTAGAGTTATGCCTGTTTAACATAAACAGGGCGATATGGCGGAAAAACATGAGGAAATGGTGCAAATAATTTTTCGCATCTTCCGACTGGCAAGAAACCAGGGAACTATTCGTCTTGGGGACCAAGTGCTGATGCCTCATGCCATTTCCAGCGAGGCTGCAGGCAAACTCCGCTGTGTTGAAAATTTTGCACTGAGTAAATACTTTTTTTCATGTGTAACGTGGAGAAAACATAGATTTATGCACATTAAACTAACAGAAGTACGGCATTGAAAGCCATTACCAGACAACGACTGGTGAAGACACAGCGAACTGAGAAGTTTAAGTGTGCTGTAATGAACTGCAGAGAGTATGAATTAGCTATAGCTACTTGTAGTTACGTTCTGCAAGAGTGCAATACATGCGATTACCAATCCAAACCCCGTCTATAGTCACTCCTTCACGTGACAATATATAGTTGTTGAAACTATGAGGAAAGATTAACATTGAGTTCAAGAAATTAAATTTTCTCGAATATTTGGAATGAGGTTTCTAATCGCAACCAGAAATGTTACCGCGGTACCTACACGATGAATGTCAAATGTCTGTGAATGAAATATATCTCGCGCACTCCTGTAGGATTCTGCAAATAGCAGTGGTTCAGAATTGCTGACGCAAACTGTACCTTACCCCCAAACGATTGTCACTTGGCGCGCCTGCCAAGATTGCCGTATGCTGACTGCCAAACAACAGTGCCAGAGAAGTTGTCGCAGGAGCAAGGCTGACTGCCATGATAATTCGGACGTATTGGTTTTCCAGAACGGCGATTTCCAACCTGAGCCTCTCGCACCCACGGCCCCCACGGCATCCCTTGACCGGTCTTTAGGGTGTCTGTGGATATAATTTTCAGTTCCTCATTTCAGCGCAAAATATTTGGACCGAAGAGAGATGAAGTGACAGGAGGCTGGAGAAAACTGCATAATGAGGAGCTTCATAACTTGTACTCTTCTCCAAGTATAATTAGAATGATAAAGTCAAGGGAGATGAGATTGGAAAAGCATGTAGCGCCCATGGGGGCGAAGGGGAATGCATATAGGGTTTCGGTGGGAAAGCCAAAAGGAAAGAGGCCACTATGTGGACCAAGATGTAGATGAGTGAATAATATTAATTTGGATCTTAAGGAGATAGGATAGGGTGGTATGGACTGGATCGATTTGGCTCAGGATAGGGAGCAGTGGAGGGCTCTTGTGAACACTGTAATGAACCTTCAGGTGCCATAAAATGCTGGGAATTTCTTGAGTAGCAGCAGAACTGGCGGCTTCTCAAGCAGGGCTCAGCTCCATGAGTGATCAGCTTTCATGGTCATACGGAGTCAGAAAGCATATTTTAGAGTTTTACATCTTAAAATAAATAGTATGTATGTATGAAGGGGTAGGCGTACTCGGCCCTTGCACTTAGATCTCGGTGGTCCATAAATAAATAGTAACAACACAATAAATATAAAATGTTTTTAATGTCTATAACGTTTGACTAAAAATGTTTATTATTTAATTAATGTATAATTAAATAAATAAGGGCAACCATAAGGAATCTTGTGACGTCATTTTCTCCAATCCGTGACTCCACATTTGGTAACTGTATAGTCATCTATTTTATTAAGAACATGCTAGAGTGATCTGTGGTTCTGTGAAGCAGTAATTTGTGATCGACTACATTCTGATATCCTGCCGTTGGTTAGCTCCGTTTGTACCGGAAACAGGTAGCCTAAACACGAATAAAAATGATAAAAACAAACTAATTCGTGAATTGTTGATTTTAGGATTTCACAATGGGTCATTGTTGATGCTGAATCTGTTCTTGGGTCTTTCCGCAGTGTTGATGTAGGCGTTGCTCCAATCATTTTGTAAGTTAATTCGTTGCAAATTACAATGAAGACAACCGTTTCTCTCTTCCACTGCTATGAGTAACCAGACAGAACTAGAGGCCCATGGTCACAACTGCCCTTCATCTCTGCAGCGTCAATTTTCGGGGAAGGTAAATAGGAAGAGTTTTATTTCCGGGGTTGAAGATAAGCCAAGCAAGACACCGGCATGAAGAAGACTGCAAGCAGAAAGTCAGTTGACTCTCAGTGGTCTGCATGCCGATATATCCTAAAAGATAAAACTCGTTTCATAACATTCGCTGTGAGAACCAATGTGCATTTACATTTAAACGACTAATGCTTGGTCAAGCTGACATTGTCTGTAGGTTGGAGCCATCTTTTGACAGCTACTACAACCAACGCGTAGACTCTCACGTTGGCAGCAATAGATACCAGAAAGGTAAATTTGTATTTCTAAGTACTCATCAGGGTCAACAATTTAGTTAATTGAGTGGTGTGTTCGTAACTTGGAGGCATTGTTTTGGAATTATGTCTACGAACCCGAAAAGGACAGTATATGTTGGTACGTTGAATTATTTCTGACTTACGATACGTATTAAGTTTCCTGTATTTAGAGAGTTATTAGATGTTATATTACCGTTTGTTCAAAAATCTATCGTTCAGTCTTTTCAAACATATAATTTACAGAATATCATTTGTCTCTATTAGAGTATGATATGCACTTTGCATATTTTAACAAACATTTCGAATCGTTTTCATTGCATATTTCAATTGTTTTATCTTCCAGTTAAGCTCTTTTAATTCATTGTAATATTTATGACGTCCAGTATCAATTTATACTGAACCTCTAGTAAATAAATGAATTGAAATTAAACTTTCAGGAGGATTAGCTGAAGAAGTTGACGAGAAAGTGCTTAATGCCGCATTTATTCCTTTTGGTGATGTAATGGACATACAGATACCACTTGATTACGAAACCGAGAAACACAGAGGTTTTGCATTTGTTGAATTTGAATGTGCAGAAGATGCAGCTGCTGCTATAGATAATATGGTAAGATTATAGAACTTTTTCCTGGCCAACACTATTTTGAGAGTTCATGTCTAGATGCACTTCCTAGTTAAGATCTCGTAAAAGTTGAACTGGAAATGCAGAATATGATTTCGTTAACCTTTTTTCTTCTTTTCTTTCTTTGGGAAATATTTAATGACAATGTTAGTGTCTAGACTATATAGCGTTGTATGATAGGATGATGAGTGATGAACTGGAACGTATCTAGAAGGAAATAGTCATGCCCTAATTGAGGTACTGTCTCGGCATTTGCCTCGTGGAACCAAGGAAATCACTGAAAGCTTCAGTCAGGATAGCTGGCATCCCAGCCAAGATTTGAATCTAGCACCTCCCATATACAGGCCCAGAGTGTAACCCCTAAACCACCCTGTTCAGTATACGATATTTCAAGTTTGAGTTTTGCTAGTCATGATGGTTGGGTGTTCTTAGGTTATGTTAGGTTACATTAGTATAGCTTAAGGGAATGCAAATTATATTCTGCAGTTTTATTAGAATTGACAGATAGAACTATGTTCGGTCAACATCCTTTCATTCAATTTCTGAAAATGAGTAGTGTCCACCTTTTTTACTTGTAAAATACTCCCTGTTTCTAGTTTATTTTATGACACTGTCGGTAACTCAGAAAAAATATTAATATGTTTATGCTCTTAAAAATGAAGATTCAAATAACATTTAATTTTAGAATGATTCAGAGCTGTTTGGAAGGACAATTCGTGTGAATCTTGCAAAACCTCAGAAAATCAAAGAAGGGTCTTCCAAGGCCGTCTGGTCAGATGATACATGGCTACAGGAGCATGCTGGGAAGACACTGAACAAGGATGGTGAGTCGGGGACAAAAGAAGGAACAGAGGAGTCTGAAAAGGTACGCTTCTGTACATGTCACTTCATGAATGTATACAGATTCTCTGATTTACTCGTACACATGAGGGAGACAGGTACATTCTTAGAACCAGTTTTATTCTCGTGCGTGTGTGTGTATATATATATACGTATATCGAAGGTTTGAGTCCTGATGAGGTCATTGGATTTTTCAATTGACCTAATCCTTCCAGCCACACTATGGTCCTGGGGTTGACTCAGCTTCTAACAGAAATGAGTACCAGGAATCTTCCTGGGGGTAAAGGGTGGCCGGCGCATAAGGCTGACAACCTCACTGCCATTTGTGAACTGTGTAAAGAAAATGGGGGAGCCTCGATGTCTCACAAGCCTATGGGCCTCCATGGACTGCTACATTTGGGCCCATAAACTATTCCCAGTTTGGAAAGATGTGATTTGTATGTGTCAGTGTCCTGTTTGTAATCCTGTCACATGTTAATATTTGAGATTTACATGGCGATGAAGGTTCATTTCGGTGTAGGAGAGCAAATAGTGTGTGCCTTCATTCAGATGGTTCATTAATTTTCCGTTTTATAAGACATGATATCCTGCCAAGTGGGTTGTAGAGTTAGAATTCAGCATTTTTGGATTACAGTCATCTGGGATGTTACACTGTGTAGCTTGGTAGATATGTAGACAGTATGTTGCCAGTGACAGGAGGAGACAAGGAGGAGCAGTTATGTGGTGGGTGTAACTACTAAGTGATTTGCCATGCACAAGCCGCACAGCAGACTGACCTGCTTCTCCACTCTGCCTGTTGTTCAACCAAATGAATTCATCCATCCGTGCCATCACTAGTGGCACTAGCTGTACAAGTGTTCTCATGGAACCCGCTATGTATCTGCCAAACTACCCTGTATCACATCAAGGAAGACAAGATAAGAATGAATGAACCTCAGAGTTCAGTTGCTTTGTGAACTCCGACTAAGAAGCTAATGTTTGTTTCTGCTGCTTCTGCTTAGGAGGAGGAACCAGAGACTAAAAAACCAAAGAAGAACCCTCAAGTGTACTTTGATATCAAAATCGGGAAGAACAGCATCGGGAGAATAATAATGATGTTGCGAGCCGATGTAGTTCCAAAGACAGCGGAGAACTTCAGATGTCTGTGTACCCATGAGAAAGGTTATGGGTACCAAGGCAGCACTTTTCACAGAATAATTCCAGATTTTGTATCCTTAGAAAAGTTTTAGTTAATGAACAAAAATCAGGTCATGCAAAGAATGAACATGGATTATGCCCCATCTGTTTGCAGAGCAAGTACCTCCTGTCTGTGTGCCTTCCCCCACTTCCTCCAGGTGTCACTTGTGTTGTGGCTCTCATTCCGTGCATCTGTTCTCATCCTAATTTTATTACTGGTGTCAGTAGGATGGGTGAAGCAGGTGGCTGATCTGAACCCATGCATTCCTTGCACTGAGTGTAATTCCAAAGCACGGTTTTTCTGGGACAGTTGGTAAATACATACGCAGATCAAGAATTTTCCTGTAGGCTCCCTGAATGATTCACACTTCCCTCACAACAGCTAGCCAATCAGCCTTATCCTGAGGCAGTTCAGTCACACTCGCATCTTCTCAAATTATTTACATTTTACTGATATCCTGTCAGTTGGATGTGGTGAGAGGTGCCTAGTTCTGCCAACCACATCCATACTGGTCCAATTTTGGAATAGGACACTGGGCCCCAAGGAACAAATAGTATTTGCAATTACAAGGCACAGTGGCTGAGTACGTCAGTCCCTAATGATGAAAATGGTGAGGGTTTCCAAAAGACTGGAAATCCATTCAGTCTTGCAGTTGTCATAGTGTGAGTGTTGTTCATATGAAACCTGTTGACATGTTCAAACCCCTCAAGCAAGCACGAAAGGGGCTGTTGATTTTGGTTGGATGGCTGTTACAGCATTGAACAGAAGAAACTGTACCCTGTACCGTCAACAGTGGTAGAAAATATACGTTACAATTTTTATCCTTCAGTTTTCACAGCCAGCATCTAATATGTACTCGTAACTTTGGCTGTTGGGTTTAGCATGTAGTGGTGTATGAATGTGAGTACTGAGGAGCATAACAGAGTAAAAATTTCTTTATGTATTCTCCATCTGAAGGTGGAAATTAAGCCATAGGACAATGGACAGAATAGCCTTACACATTGCGTGAGGCCATCATCAAATAACTTCAACCCCTTACACACCATAGACAAATGAGATCAGAGCCTTTGGCATTTATCAGACACAGTTGGCTTGGCAGCTGGAAGGTTAAAATTGAGGAACTATTTTAATGGCTTGTGTACTGTTTGCCCTTAACTAGTGATTAGATGTGTCAAGGTGGAGATTTCACGAACCACAACGGAACAGGAGGCAGATCAATATATGGAAAGAAATTTGAAGATGAAAATTTCATCTTAAAACATACAAATCCAGGCACTTTGTCAATGGCAAACTCTGGCCAAAACACGAATGGCTCACAGTTCTTTCTCTGCACTGCACGAACAGACTGGTAAGTGTGAGATTTGAGGTTTTTGTGCCAGTGATTATGATTACTGTCTTCTGGGGCATGATGCCAGTTACCCTCGTAGAAGTTTACCATAGTTGCAGAGAAATGTGCCTCCATTTTTAGGCAGAAGAAAAATCTGGCATTTTTTGGGTTGTTTTCATCACTTCTGTCATTCTGCTCAGTTGTCAGGACTCATTCCCCCCCCCATCTGTACTTCTTCCCACAGTCACATCCCTCTTCTGCCAAGAAGAGGGAGGAGTCACATTCTTCTGGAAGTAACAAGACTATGGTCTTAACGGTTCTGACACCATGCAACTTTGTGGACAGATGCCAAGGTATCAGGGCAACATAACTGCTTCATCTTCAGGACTGAATGGGCTTGGATATATAGGATGTCCCAGGAGGAAAGGTCAGTATTCTTGGAGGTCATAGTATCGGTCATTCTAAACAAAAAAGTGTATACATACGTGTGTCCTATTCTGAACTGTTTCCGAGATAGAGCTATTTCACTGTACAATTCCAAATTTGTTGATAAGAAAGAGAGATTTCCTACTGTTTCCAATACCGGTATTTGTTTGATTTAGGGATTTCTGCACCATCTGAATATAATGTAGTTGATCGTTCCTTTATGAGACACTAGTTCACTACATGTTTCAGCCTAAATGGCCATCTTCAGGTGTACAGGTTGTAGTTGTTCAGAACTCTGCTGCTCACTGCAGTGCAGTTTTCTTTCCTCTTGTTATTTTTGTGTTATGTGGGTTGCATATGGTTGCTTTTGATTTCGTACGGTTTGCTGGTTGTGGATGCCTTCAATGTTCCTGTTGGGGTGGGAGTTCTGCTGTGTGCTGGTCAGCCATCATAGTTGTTCATCATGGGTGTATAACATTATGAACTGGTATTTATTGTTCAAGTGACAAGTTGGTACATTTTACCTAGTATAATACATTTTTGAAAATTCCACCGTCAGCATCAATGAACTTTGCAACTCGTGTAAGGACATGGTGTGTTGCTCGTCTGTACAGTGTACACTGAACTCTACAGTGAAATAGCTGTCTTGGAAATGGTTCGGAATAGGACAAATGTACATGTACACTTTTTGCTTAGAATGACCAATACTGTGACACCCCGAATATTGACCTTTCCTCCTGGGACACTGTATAGGCAGGTTACAAGGAGGGTGTTCATGGGGCCCAAGGGAACATGGTAAAGAAAGGAATCCAGTCCAAGCCAGTAGGGAGAGATGGAATGCAAGGTGGCCCTTATAAGGGCCACACTAGTCAATCATCTTCCTGTGACTGGTTTCGTTTCTTTATGTCCTCTTCTTGCGTCTCATGAACACACTCCTTCTAACATGTCTATGTAACAAAACCTATTTCTGAACCAACACACTTCAACCCTGACAGTGGAGCAGCGTGGCCTCGTGAAACAGCGGCATCCACCCATCAAGCACAGTGTCACACTCCAGAAGGTCACGTTTTTAATAATCACCAACATGAAAACCTCAGAACTAGTTGGAATGTGTGAGGTTTAGTGGCAATAAAGAATTAAGCAACGTTCACAAATCAGAGCAAGTGTTCTGTGACTCACTGGGGCTTTGAAATTGGAGAAGTCTGAAGTAGACTAGGGGGAACTGAATCTGAACAGACCTTGGATGTAACAGCTGCAGTTACATAAGCCAGTGTATGTACTGTAAACTGTCCTTCAGTCCCGTAAAAATAGGAGGCAGGAATTTACACAACTGAACTGTACTAATGATATAACATGCTTGCAGGTTGGACGGTAAACATGTTGTGTTTGGCCATGTTATAAGTGGCATGGATGTACTAAAGAAAATGGAGGTAAGAGCAGTCATGTTTTAGAACAATGTTCCCTGTACAGACCCCTGAACAGTTACATAATCTAATATTATTTCTTCTTTGTAGACCAACACATTCATGACAGTAAGACTGAACGATTGTTCTAGAAGTAACGTTCTAAGATTTATATATGGGAGGTGCCATGTACAAATCTTGACCAGGACATAGCCTGTCCTCTCTGAGGCTTTTTGTAGTTTCCTCAATTATTCCAGGTACATGCAAGGATAATACCTCAATTAGGCCATGAGCACTTCTTTCCAAATCCTTTCCAATTCATCATTTGTAGAACATTCTACCAATCGGCACCGTACAGTCTGAAATACTGACAGTGCCATTATGTAACCTAGAAACCCAAAATCATGGCAGTGGGGTAGTTCTGCTTTTGTGACCATTACGCTATCAAATGGGAGCCTTGAAACGTAATAGGTTTTCTTAGTTCTTGGAAGACATCAGTAGCTGATGCAGCTATTGAAACCTGACATTAGGCATCATGACAGACAAAGAATTACATACGGATTTGCCAGAATCCATTTTATTTAGCAGGACCATAGACTTTTCTCCGAATTCTTTGTAATACATGACTGTGTTGTGTTTCAGAAATGCGGAACTAAATCCGGAACGCCAACAGAGAAAGTAATAATATCCGCATGTGGTGAGCTGGTGTAATGCTTATAAATGTACATACATTAATTACAACAAGTTTTATATATTTGAATGGTTATTACTGTTACTGCAGCGTTCCTTACAACCTCGCTCATCCCATTGTTCCTGTGTTAAGCTTATTGCCTGGTGTTTGTATTGGAGAAGAAGAGCATTTTCTTCTGTTATTTGGGTAAACTTCTCGCTTCAGAGGATTAGTTCAATCCATTATTAAAATAAATGCATACCACTTTTATACTAGTAATGATAAAGTAGGTCCATCCAAACTCTACCCACTGAGAGGCCACATTGTACCTTACATACTCAGTTGCTACATTTAAAAAAAATATATTGTGGCATATATACCTGTTACTAAGCAGTGACGCTGAAAACTGGCCATTGTTAGATAACACCAACATACACGCATACAACAATATAAGAATGGGGTTAGCAAGGGTTGAAATATTGTTTGACTATTAACAATGGAAATGGTAGATTCTAAAGGGTTCTGACGATAGTGTATAGTACTCAGAATTACAGTGTTTTTGGATTTTGTTCAACGGCCGGCGTTCTAGAAACTTGTGTATTAAATAATAGCCAACCCATTTACTGACATTGGTCTCTGCAGTGATTACGGTCATTTTGCTGCTGACGTCTGAACCGTCTGATCGCTGGAAATAGATGGCAGCTTGGTGCTCGTGACGTCACATGGGCTTCATTCCCACATAACATTGAATTGCTTACGGTGCTTACGGTTGAGCGAAGATCATGGCTACCAGGCGTAGACCTTTACATTCAGCAAATTCAAGCTTCAACTTTAGACCAAACACTGAGACGCGAAAATGGGAAACGAAAGGGAAGAAACCGTTACCAGAACCAACGACTGTGAAACAGGTGTTGTTGATGATGATTGTTCATGTGTGTAGGAAAACATTGTTCGTAGATACTAGTGTAAAGGTTGGAATCTATGGAGCAAGTTTGTTTGTTGTGTCGCTCCTTGCGGATGCCCTTCCTTTTCCAAGAACATACATGTCGAGATCAAATAACATATTCAATATATATTTTGTGAAATTAGGTTGGGCCTGGACTTTATTTGTTATATCCCCATTTCTTCTTATGACCAGTTATATTTATTGTTGTGGCAGACGTGATAAAATTCTGCAGCATTTTGCAAGGTTAGGAATTGCGACATTTGCTTGGTACGTTTGGACAAAATTATTCTGGTATATCGAAAAAATGTATGGGCATTGCAACGTTATACCAAAAAAATATCAAACAAAAGAAGCCTGTATTGCTGGTGGATACTTTTGGAATGGTTTTGATATATCTGGACATGCATTTATATTAATATACAGCAGTCTCATTCTGATTGAAGAAGCTCGTGCAATTGTTGGATGGGAAGGTATACGAGATCTTATTAGGGATGAAGAACATGCAAGAACCACTGGAGATGTTTCAGTCACCAACAGCCCTTTACGAGGATTATCATATGAAGATTTCTCCATCCTTAAGAAGTCCTATGACAAGTTTACTCCATACATCCGATTATGTTTCATTGCAATGACTTTATTGTGTGTGTTGTGGGATGTCATGTTGGTAAGCACAATCTTATATTACCACATAATGATTGAGAAGTTTATTAGTGGTGCCATTGCAATTCTCACATGGTTCTTTACGTACCGTTACTGGTACACCATTCCTTGGACACTACCGAACCTGCCTGGAGACGGACTGTTCAAGTATAAGGATGTTCGACAGCCAAAGGAGCAAGCAAAGCGAAGAAGTACAACAATTCCTCAAAGCAGTGTTAGAGGGCAGATCCCAACATTCATGGGAATGCCTCTCTATGGATTACGAAATCAGGAGAACAAAGAACAGAAAGATGAAGATACGGATGTTGAAGCAGATGTACCGACAGCTTTTTTGAGTAAATGACAAGAATGTTAACACCAATAATGAAGCAGGCTCTCATTTGAAAGATTAAAATTTGCCAAATATTTCAGTGCATGCTGATAACATGCTTTTGGAGTGTTTTGTTACAGATATGGCAACTTATATACAGTTATGAATTAAGAATAACATTCTTTGGTGATATCTGAGTTTCACGTTGTTGAGCCTGTGGAGATTACTGGCTTCTGGGATATGACATCATGTAATCTGGTTATTGGTACTGTTTGAGAGGAGCCTACTGCTTTCGTCGTCAGGTTAGACACTCCTCTGCCCTGAAGAAGGAGGCCGCAGATTCCTCCGAAACTAACAGTTGCCAGACTTCGTTGTGTCGCATTACAGAAACTGATCTTCATAATCTTTCTTTATGCTAAAAAAATTTGTATTTTTACTGGATGCATCACATTTTCAATGGGCACTTAAACCCACATAACCATGTCATCTTTCTAAATGAGATACAGTTATTTCATAGTTTGTTAATGGTTGTGAGGTTCTCTTTCATCTTGTTTTATTATTTATTTATTTATTGTAAGGGAATGGATTAAGGTTAACAAATATTTCATAGTTGAACTGTGTAACCAAGAAGTTTTTTTCCTTGTAGACTTCATGACACTTGTTGACTGATATTACATGTGACATTCATGTAGCAGTTGTTGATTCATAGTCACATTCACACAATAAAACCAGTACAAGAAAAGTCTGTATGATAGTTTTGTATGAAGGTGACTTAATAACAATGAGAAGTGTTAAAAGCTAGGTAAATCTATACCTGTATTGTTATTTGTGTATGGGTACTTGAAAAAAGCTATTTCATTTAATTTTGTTAATTCAGACTCATTTCAGTTAATGACATTTGATTTGCTTGCTCTCTGATTGAGAGGTGGGGAGAAGGGAAGTGGGGTGTTGTATGGGTGACAGGAAGAATGCGAGGGGAGAAGGGAAGTAGGGTGTTGTATGGGTGACAGGAAGAATGCGAGGGGAGAAGGGAAGTTTTGCACATCTGCTGCTGTTTTCACAGGAATATGGAAACTTCAGTACAGTATATCCCTGTGTTCAGCTTATGTTATTTCACACTCAGTGTCCTTCTTTTATGAACTTAACTGTCACATAAATTAAGGAGTACTTGTACTATCATATTCATAACCAATTGATAACACTCAGTGTTATAATTTTTAAGTGTTAACCCTTGCAGTCTGTTATCCTAGTTTTGTCATGACAGAAGATTGAATTGTAAGTGAATATAATAGATGTTCTTTTAATATAGACTTTGTTGTTTTAATGATAAAGACATCACTTAGTTAATTTTGTTTCTCATAACAAAAGACAGTACAGTTACACCTGTGCTTATTTATGCACCACTCCATGAGGACGTACAGGAAATTGGAGATACAGCTCCACACATTCCTAACCTAATCTTTATGGTGTGCATCCTGTTGTGTGTTATATCACACATGGGGCCATCTGCACACATCTATGAATGTAAGCAAAGACAAAGTGGTACAAATGTATCACCATTCGTTTTATTGTGGAGAGGTGTTCCGCTACATGTTTAGACTTTCAAGAGGTTATCATCAGGCTTACTTGCAAGAATTCAGCCTTAATTCTAGAATTGTATTTTAATATGAATACAGATTATTATAATTTGTTTCATTTTTGATAGTGAATATTGTATTATTAAATATATCTAATAAACACACACTAAAAGTACTCTAATAATATACAGTTTCTAATTCTGTTTACATACTAAGACTGATTACCTTTTATATAGTTTGGATTTAATATTACATAGCTATTAATGTAGTTTGATCCTTGAAGATAAAAATTAAAAAGAATTTTTAATTTCTTTCAAATTGACTACTCAAGTTACACTTGAGAAATATAGATACTAGATGGTGGTGAAACAGATTGAGGTTCTGAAATGACTTGTTAAGTTCAGATTACTAAGATGACGGATAAGTCCAGGAAACTGGTAATTATAATTGTAACCCTTTAGAAGTATAAACAAGGGTTGTTGTCATATTACATTCTTCTTGTCACTTAGTTAAATACTTTTTGATGCAAACGTTAAACAGAATAAAAGTGCGAAGCAAACCATCTGCTGGTAAATTTCGTGGAATTGTGCTCTGTAGATTACATGAAGAGGAACACTGCTAGCAATTCTAATCACCATCATCGCCACTGATGTTTGTAGCGCTCATACGTAGTGTATCACACTTCATGGTCAAGTGGGTAACACTCTGCTTCAAGTCCCAGCTTTAAATCTTGGCTTGAAGAGTGGCTGTCCTGTCTCAGAGGTTTTCTCTGGTTTTTCTCAGCCTTTTCAGGCAATACCGGGATAGTGCATCGAAGCAGGCTGCAACTACTACTTTCACATCCTTGCAATTCATTAGTTATGTGACGGCTGTCAGTACTGTGTTCTGAGCTCGATATGAGGTATACAAAGGACGGGTACTGAACACGAAGTTGACGCTTCATCTCCGCAAGTACTGAGCTAAAGAATGCATGGAGCTTTTTCCTCTATTTCCTTATGTTTTCGTGGTGTGGTGCTTAACTAAGGAAAGGGGGTAAGTTTATTTTTTATTTTTAAGAAACTGTAAATCAGTGGGATTGTTGCCTGATGTTGCAGACCACTGTGCAGATAACCTGAAAGTGTTGTTCTGTTTTTCATCATTTGTGTTGTGTAGGAAGAATGTGTGACTTGTGATTTGTATCATGAACTGATGCAGTGTTTCTTATGTAGAACCATGTCTTTATTTTCCATGATGTTTCCATCTGTGTATGTTGTCTCTAACACCCAAAGCTTTGCACTATCCTCATGTGTGATGTTTTTCTTAACCTGTTGTTCCCATTTTGATCTCAAACTTCCTCTTCAGTATTTTCGTTTTAGTTTCATGTTCTAAACCTTTTTTGGGATTTGGTCTTGATTTATTCTTAAAGCATCTGTGTCATCTTATTCTCGTATTTATAACTTATCTTCCAATGTATTTATCAACAGATTCTCTCAAAATTTTTGTTCTCATTCTTCCCTGGTTTTTTCCTTCTGTGACTCTTAACTCTCTCATCTCAGCTGCCATTAATCTGTTAATGTCACCCTTTGTCCATGGCCACGTTTTTACTCCACACATTAATAGGGCTCTATAGTAATTTGTAATAAAACTTACGTTTCCTGTCTTTGCAAGTACTTACATTAAATGTAATGGGATGCCGATGTTCCTTTGGATTCCATCGTGAGGAGCTTTCGCTGAGGCCCTGGCACTTATATCTCATTGAACAAGCATAGGGTATATATATATATATGGTGCCTAGTATCCTCCAACACAGAGAAGGGGAGTCATGTGATGGATAGACCTGTTTCAACTTGAGGCACTATCTGCATTGTACCAGTGGCAGCAGCAAGAGCTGTTAACAAAATTGATGTGAAGTTTTTAGCTTGCACAGTACATGGAGGCTGCCCTACAAATTGCATCTCCTCATTGTTAAAAGATAATAATTATTGATTATGGTTCATATAATATGTAATCAACTTTTGTATTTTAATATTGATTGGATTTTTTGTATAAATATTTCATTATACAAACTACTGTTACGTAAGATAATTAATTAAAGTGTTTTGAAAGTCATATATTTTGACCAGATATAAAAATAAAGTTTCTGGTGATGAATATAGGCTCTTGATGTATTGTGTTCCACTTTTCTTCTTTTGACATCATTTTTGCTGTATGGGTCACTGGATGAAAGGTCTCCAATCTGATCTTTTCTTTCTACAATCTTTCCTTTTTGATTTCTACCTAGCTAAACCATTGTGGAATTGTCGACACTCCAATAGACAACCAATTCGGAAAGTTTGCGGGCCCTGAAAAGGGCCGTTTGTTCCACCGCGGTAGATAGAGTTTTACGGCCATTCAGCTGGTCTGTCTGGCTGGTGATGTAGTGCTGTGTGCACCGGTAGAATAGCTGTTGACTAATGCTGCGGCAGCTGAGTTCGCTGCCTGGTCGCTGGAGACTTGTGGCTACTACTTCAGATGCCTGGTCGCTGGAGGCTTGCAGCAACTACATAGTTGCCTGGTTGCAGTGAAGAGCTGATGCCTCTGACGACTCATCGTTCTGAACTGTGTGTTCACTGATGATTGCGAGCTTTGGGCTCTGCCTTTTATACCATGCTTGATGGAGGGGTGAAACTTGCAGTTGCGATTGTGAAGGCTGATTGGCTAGAGCACATTGTGATCTAAATGTGAGCTGGACATCGAGTGCTGCCAGCAATGTGATTGGTTAGTGCACATGATGTTCTGCAAGTGGGTTGGACATCGAGTGCTGTATATAAATATGAGCGCAATGTACTGCAATGTGTTATTCACTTAGGAGTGAGTGATGTCTGAAAGACGGGCAAAACGGGGTGTCACGTGGGATGTTCCCACACCGTCTTGTTCTGGGTTTTCTGATACACCTCTTTCCTTTATATTTTAATTCTAATGCCCTGCTAGGTATCTTTGCTCTATCCATTCTTTTTATGTGACCAAACCATTGTAGTATTCCATCATTCTGCCCAAATATTGGCAGGAGATTGGTGGCTGCAGAGTAAGGAAGTCAGATATTAATTTTGGTTACAAGTGGTGTGAATGTATTAAGATTTAAAGGTTTAGTTAAAAATACCCAATAAGATTAATTTGAAGCTGGAAACAAAACCAAGATCCTCCTCTTGTTGGAGCCAAGCCATCATTTCACTCATGAAAGTGTACAAACAATTCTGATATTGTATTTGACTTTCTGCCATGCCTTTTATGGGCAATGTTATGGGAGCAATCCTGCGTGTTCAAGATCTCTTGTACAGTGACTTAGGTTCCCACCATATGTTGAAAACAGTGCATAGTAACTTGTAATGAAGGTGTGATGATGTTGCACCCTCAAAGCTGTTTTACACAAACTTTAACTAACAATAAATATGTAGATGTGGGTCATCACAGTAGTGCAAGTATTCCTGTCAGAGAACATCCACATATACAAACATGTTGACCCTAGCACCAAGAATAAATGGGGAATATTTCAGTATTAGTGATACGCTAGTGACTGTGTATATGCATGTTATGACTTATTTAGCAAGACCGTACATTGTTGAATGGTGGCATGGTCCATGAATAATGAATTGCGAAAGATATGGCCTCAGTTGAGGTACTTTCCTGGCATTTGCATGGAGGGACTAAGAAAAATCCATAATAAACCTCAGTTTGGAGAGTTGGTCTCTGGACCAAGATTTGAACTATGGACATCCCCAAATGCAAACAGGAGTTACTCTTTTTGATATGTAAGCGTACTTAATGCTAAATATTCCGCGAGTCTTTCCAGTTTTTGAAACATTTTGGTATGTAAAGAAAGTACTGTCTTCTGCAATCTTCATTATAGTCTTAAGGGATCATTACCATTTCAGGCAAACTTGCTGTCTCCATCTTCAGGGTGGAAGAGTGTTTCTAATCTGTGGATGTTGTGAAGCATAGCCTTCACACAGAGGATTGCTAACGGTGGTTCTCGCAGACGTGACTATCAAGATTACTGCCTTCCATCATGTCACCCTGAAGATGGAAGCTACAGGTTCCTCCAAAATGGTAATGACCTACCATACTACAATGTTACATCCCAGACAAGAGTAACTTTCACAATCAGCACCAGGGATATGTCAGTAAATTTCTGGGTGCATCAAAATGCTGGTTTTAAAATATGGCCATGGGAAGAACAGCGTAACTCCTGAGGTAACCGATCCTCAGTGTGTTTATGAAACCCACAACATCAGCATTTAGATAAAAATGGGAATCATAAATTAATATAGAAGATTTTTTTTTCGTAACATTTTATTTACAAATTTTAAGGCACTTTTTTAATTCCCATTTCATATCATAATTCTGCTTTGAGCAGTATTTAGTGTATATAAAATGTTAACATAAAAGTCTACAGGTTGGGCCCCTGGCATCCACATTTCATTATATACCTAAAAAAAAAGTACAAAAAAAGAATGGAAACCTTAAAAGTAAATGTGACCAAAGTTCATTTTATTACTAGTTTGAGATTCCTTATAACAAAAGTTCTATATATGTAAGAATTTTATCATTTTCTGTTTTCAAATTGTATGGAATGACAGTTATTAACATATTGGCACAAATACATTAATTACAATTCTCCTGCTACGCTATCACAACAAACTTCCATCACCATTTGTGCAAAGTTACATCAGAACATCCTCTTGCTATACCGATACCATACAGAGAACCGCTCTTTCCATTTTATATTTTAGTTATGCTGTTTCTTCTTCAGGTCATCCTAACATTTCCTACATGGACATAGCAGTAATGTCGTTAAGTCTGGCACACTAGCTGTGTCCACTTCTACATACAGAAGGGCTAGATTCTGAGCAAGACCAATTGGAACATAACATGTCATACAACTACCAAACATTGAACTTCTTCAGTTTGATATGTGGTGAGCAATATTGTTCACTTAAAAACATATATACATCATGGTGACAAATAGAAAAATCTCTTGTCCCCCCCCCACTAGGAATCTAACCGCATTTTCTCAGTCAAGCCGCTATACCAACTGTCATCTTATTTGCAGTATTAGCTCTGACACGTTACGCATATTACAAAACAGAATCTATCTTTTATACAGGCCTTTATAAGCATTTTCCTCTACTGGCTTTTTGTCAGTTGCAACAGCTTGTGCTTTCAGATGTGTTCTGTAGTGTACTGTTTCTCATAATGTGGGTGTTACCAGGTTTTGTAAAAGACTAGGAGTTTCATGACTGGCTGAGCTGCTATTAGGTTCTCGTGGATTCTGCTGCATGCATTTTCTTTATTTTTCTGTCATTTTATGACACTATCAGTAGCTAGAACTGACAAATGACAAATTGCAAATAATTTGGAATGAAGTGATTGTGGTCTAATCGAATAATATCTCAGCATTTGCATGGAAGAACAGAAGTAAGTTGCAGAAAATCTGTCAGGATGGCCAGTGTCCCTGCTGAGACTCGAACTGAGCACATCTAGAATACGAGTAAAACATTAATCACTATGCTAGCCCGCTCTGTAACATATTTATTTCTTTCAGTTTATTCTGTAGTGTACCATACAGTTTGTTACTGGTGATTTTTGTCATTTCATTATTGTATATTATGGTATAGGATTAGAAGGTGTAGAAAGATTCATTTGGCTCAGGATAGAGTTATTGGGTTTCTGTGNAATCATGAACTTAAATCAGTGCAACAGGACGCTAAAATATAAAAATTGGAAATAAATTTCTTCATTAGATGATCTACCATTAGTTTCTCAAGAACTGTTCTGCTGAAGTAATTAATTTTCTTCCTTTTGTGGGTCATATTACAACACTTACCAGAATCTAGATTATGTAACTTCAAATGGTTAAAATGAACGATAAATTGGAAAACCTCTGAAAGGAAGTGGTCATGGTGTAATTAGAGAGCCATCCCAGAATCTTTTCCTTCAGGGACAGGAAAAGAATCCTCAGGATAGGTGATGTCCTGACCAGGATCTGAACCAAGCATGTCCCTGAATACAAACCTACAATGTCAACCCATTTGTAGATTAATTTGTTACTCTGATTTATTTTATTTATGGGTTAAAAGAGTGTACATCATGGATGTTGAATTCATATATTAAGAAAATAATTTGCCACAGTCATTGTTTTTATGTTACCAGCAGAACTGCTCTAAATGTTTTCTAATTAGGTAGTACAGTAATACATAAACATGCCTCTCATTTTGTTCTCCTGTGTGCTACTTCAAGATATGATCCTAGTGCTAGTAATAAACAGCAGTCAGACTGAAGACTGAAGATATGTTTGCCCTTGGCATGGGAATAAAACAACACTTTTGCTACAAACATCTTTGCCACCACCTCATCTTCCATCCCAGCAATGAGCAAATGACCTACACATGTCCGAAGAACTGGACCGTCTAGTGACAGAAGAAAAGAACTGTGTGTTCTAAGAGTGAGATGAAAGAGAGATGCTTTGTCTTGTCACAGTACATTACTGTGTAACCAGGCTGTACAGGACACCAGTAAATGACCACACACAATTATGGGATCGAATGTATTAAGCAGTGAGTATAGTAAGTTAAATTTAGTGGTGTTTACATTTTTTAAAATTAACTTTTGAGTATTGCTTTATTTAACGATTTCAGGAACCTGCATAATATAGCATGGAGTAGCAGGGTGACCAGCGAATGACAGATTGGAAAGGATGAGTAAAGCAGTTGTGGCTTAATTTGGGGTGATATTCTGGAATTTACTTAGAGGTACTGAGAAAACCCATGAAAACCATAGTCAGGATAGTTGTGTCTGGGTTGAGATTCACGCTGGGCACCTCCAAAATATGAGTACAAGTCTGAAGCATTATCATCTGAGTGACCCTGCACCATTTTAAAGATAATAAGTAGACAGTCTGCCATAACAGGAATTTCCTGTATCAACAGTGACATGAATATTCTATCTGGCTAGCCAGTCTGTTCAAACATTGAACCCTACCTGGTACTTTCTAACAGCTAAGATTCTTTTGAAATAAATATGCAGTAAATGAGGTTTCAAGTTTTAATGGTGGTGAATGTTCAGGTTATGCTCCTCTCTGTTTTTGTACCGTGTAGTTGGGTAGGCAGCTGCCAACGCTGTTGAGCGTGTTTTCATGGGAGCGGTATTTTACAGTGTTGTCAGTAGCTACACTACACAGCACTGAATTGAACGATGATAAGCGAATAATAAACTAGGAAGTATTTGGAAGGAGGGAATTGTGGCCTAATTGAGGTACCATATTATGGCATTTGCCTATACAGACTGAAAAAATGCAGTGCTTAGCGGGCTGAACTGCAAAACTGCAATGCAAAGCCAGTATAGCTTTCAAATTGCCTTACAGTATTATGTATTTGCAGAATGATAATTTGAATATTGTGCATTGATAATTACTCCTACAAGTTGATACACCATGACATGATTTAGTGTAAATTCATAACTACATTTAACAGCCACCTAAAAATATGAGAGTACTTAAAATGGTTCTGCAATTTACTGTTATCTCTTCTTTTTACACCTCCTGAATAAGGCAGAATTTGGATAGTCGCTGTCCTTTTTATGGTTTATTTAATGACCCTGTCAGTAGCTCACACTGTATAGCATCAAATGGCAGCATAATTCATGAATTGGAATGGTTGTCAAAATAAGTGGTCATGGAATATTTCTATATAGTATCCCAGCATTTGCCTGGACGGAGTAAATAGAACCGCAACATGCCCCAATAGTCTGTTCCAATTGAGATTAAAACCAGCACCTCCGAAATAAAACTCAGAAGCATTACTGCCTCAGCCGACTTTCTCCATTAATTGGACCTACAAAAATGTATTAATAAGGAAAATATCAAATTCTGGTGTGTGTAAACAAGGCTTTCTTTCTTGTGGTATGTCATATCTTCAACGAAGAAATAAACAGAGAATACACATCAAAATCTCACAAATGCAGACATCACTTAATGTGATTAACTCTGTCCAAATGTGTTTCAACTGTGTACAGAATACAAATTCAGTGGAAAGATGACATTTTATTCCATAAGCACCATGGAAAAATTAAAGGTGACTGGAGTATCAGTTGTTAAATTATGGAAATGCTGACATAGCAAAACAAATTATGTCACATATAAAAACAACCAAGAGGAAAATATACAAGACAAATGCTGAGATCCAGACAAGCTCAACACATCTGGAAAGATGTCGCACAGAACGAAGAAAATGTGAAGCTATGGAAAGAAATAGCTTGAGAGGCGACACTGCTAGTCAGTCTACACAAATCAAGGCAAACACTGAAGTTTTATGACCTTGAGTACCATTTTCCTGTTATAGTCTGGGCCACAGATGTTGATGATGTGAATCTACTGGGAAATAACATAGATCCCATAAAGGAAAACACAGAAACTTTAACTGATGCTAGTAAGGAGGTTGGTCTCGAAGTAAATACAGAGAAAACTAAGTATACGTTGCTGTCTTGTCACCAAAATGCAGGGCAAAATCTTGACATAGAGATAGCTAACAGATATTCTTAAAATGTGGCACAGTTCAAAAATTTGGGAATGACAGTAAAAATCAAAATTTGATTCAGGAGGAAATTAAGAGAAGATTGAATTCGGGTAATGCTTACTACCCAGTCACAGTAGGCACGCAGTCTAAGGCATGAACTGTCTTCACTTGCTCAGATTCTGGGATCGTGGGTTCAAATCCCATTCAGGGCATGGATGTTTGGTGTATTTATTTTGTTTGTGTGTTGTCCTGTGTGTAGGTAGCAGCCCTGCGACAAGTTAATCACTCATCTGAGGATTCCTACCGACCATGAAAAATGATTACAAAACTGAATAAGAGGCCAGGGCCCTGAATGGGCTGGAAGATTCAATGAAAAAGCTGCTTGCTACCATTCAGTCCAGAACCTTTTGTCTTCTCATCTGCTGTCTAAAAACAAAAATTAGAATATACAAAAATATAATTTTGTCTGTGGTTCTTTTTGGGTGTGAAACTTGGCCTCTGACATTAAGGAAGGAACACAGACTGAGGGTGTTTGAGAACAGGGTGTTGAGGAGAATATTTGCACCGAAGAGAGATCAAGCGAGAGGATCTTGGAGAAAACTGCATAATGAGGAGCTTCATAACTTGTACTCTTCTTCAAGTATAATTAGAATGAGCAAGTCAAGGAAGATGAGATGGGCAGGGCATATAGCACGAATGGGGGAGGAGAAGAATGCATATAGATATTGGTAGGAAAGCCAGATGAAAAAAAAAGACCATTAGGAAGACCAAGACATAGGTGGATGGATAATATTACAATAGATCTTAGAGAGATAGGATGGTATGGACTGGATTGATCTGGCTCAGGATAGAGACCAGTGGAGGGCTCTTGTGAACACAGTGATGAACCTTCAGGTTCCATAAAATGCTGGGAAGTTCTTCGGCAGCTGAACAACTTGTGGCTTCTTAAGGAGGGATCAGCTCCATGAAATTAGTCTGGACTACAGAGGTTTCACTGTATGTAGAAATCTCTTATGAAACTTCTCAAAAGGTATAATCAAAATTTAGTTTATTTAATTTTCTGAAAAGAGTATTTAATATCTGACGTGTAAAAGTATTGTCCTGCTCTCTTTGGGTCACATCTCAGTGTGCATAAATATAGTGCTTGTAAATTGCCTCACTTTGCTGTAATGAATTCAGTATTTCCAGAAGAACTGTCACTTTTACTTCCGAATTCAAATTCTCTGTACAACACAGCAATGTCTAAAGTAAGCAGCTATGTTCTATGATGGGCTAAGACTATGTTAACCCCTCAGATGGGCATTAAAATTGCCTGCTACGTGGTGCATGCAGTGGCCTTTAGAAACCTACACTATGGCTCCTACAACCGGTCCTTTTCCTTTGACTCGCACAACAGAAATAGTTGTCCCTGTGCTTAATTAGTTAAGCACTATGCCATGAAGGACCTTCTCGGTGCTCTAGTGGTTAGAGTTCCTGGCTACAGATCCAGAGGTCCAGGTTCGATTCCTGGTGCTACCAGATTTTTTATGAAAAGTAGTGGGTCTGGAACAGGGTCCATGTGACACCTTCTATCTGCTAAAATTGGCACTAACTTCGCCAATAAGCGGCAGTCACTCGGTCAGTATAGTTTGCTTGCAGACTAAAACCATGGCGTTTGTTGTCTATGCCATGAAGACATATGGGGGAGTGGAGTGACCTCAGCACTAGTTTAGTTAATTTCTTAGGGTGGGACGAGACTGAATCCATTTAGTATGTGAGCCACTATTTGGCCTATTCTGCCAGCCTCAAATGATAGATGATGATGATGATGATGATGATGTGGAGCAGTCAGTGGAATGACAATTGGCATGGGAAACCTAAGTATTCAGAGAAAACCTGCCCAGTGCCACTTTATCCACCACAAATCCCACATGAAGTGTCCTGGGCTCAAACCCAAGCCAGCAAGGTGGGAGGAGCTCAGCACTAGATGGAAGGGAGTGGTCAGCTTCACGCTCCTGCCGCTTTACTCCAGGAAAAGAGCCCCTACTACCCACGGGATATGAGGCTGGGTGGGCCCCAGAGTCAGTCTGGATGCTGTGGAGAAGAGAAGAATCTTGCAATGTCAGGAATCGAACCCAGACATCCAGCCCATCGACCATCGCTATACCAACTGTGTTAACTCAACCCTCACATAACAAAAACACAAAGGAATTATCATTAGTAGCAACTGCCAGAGAAAGAGCACCTTCTTGCCACCCTATGAATGAGAAGTGAAAATAAAATTCCAGCTGTAACTGATGACTGTCATTGCCAAGTATGGACTGTCATTACTATCACAAGCCTCACCCGACATTCCAGCACAGCGGATTAAATGTGTCTGTTTCCATTTCTGGGAGCAGGGGATCTGAAACTCCTGTTACTTCAGCCCACTGAACTGAATTTTAACTTGGCAGTAACAGTATTCATATTGAAAACAGTGTGACCAATGTGAAAATGGACAATGAAGGTTAATAGTGGAATATTTTGGAATATGAACATGTATTCCATATTATGAAGAAGTATACATTATTCATGCTCACCACATAACTGAATGGAATTTCACTGTATATGGGTATCTCTACCCCACATGGCTAGTTTACTTGTTTTTTCTGTAATAGTATATACCGCCAACAACTACTGTCATAGCTGTGACGACTCCTACAATTAGCGGAGCTTGTGTCTGGATGAACATCTTAACAAGTGACAGAGCAGACGGAATCGTCTTTTTATATGAATCTCGTTGCTGAACTCTACGGTAATATTGTGATATATGAGGTTTCTTGCCATCTTCCCAGAAGTAATGTTCTAGACCAAGGCGATTGAGACGATCCAACAAAATTGTCAATCCGATGTCTGCTACTGTGAAACGATCACTGCATAACCACCAGTTTTCTTGATCTGAAAATATTTGTCAAATTACAAAAGAAATAAGTTATTTTAACTGCCTTTAATTAAATTACTTTTTCTATGCTGATAAAGGCTGCATGAAACATACGTTAATTACAGAATTAATGAAAGCCTAAAAAAGTTCATGCAAAATAGGAAAATATATTACAGGTTATATAAATACCAAGCACAAGTACCCGTTCTTCACCCAGGATACATTCACTTTTCTCATGAACATCACAGTATGTGTTGGCTAAAATTTTAAAGAAGGAATCACATCCAAATGAAGAAATTAAAGTTTACTTCTGTTGTTAAAAGAAATGACTGGCAATTAGGATTCACTACTACAGCTGTGGTTACTCTACATATTGGGAATACGGAGTGAACATCATAATATCTCTATTAGGTCTGTAGTAGAGGACAGGCTGCAGAGAAGTTACATTTTTATGCATACTAGATGAGCGCAGGGGCACGCAGTAGCATAGTTGGTTGAGGCTACAAGCCGGAAGGTCACGGGTTCCAAGTCCCAATGAGGTCATTGGATTTCTTTTTCAGTTGACCTAATCCTTCCAGCCACACTATGGCCCTGGGGTCGACTCAGCCTCTAACAGAGATGAGTATCAGGAATTAATTAAATCATTTTCCTGGGGAATAAAGCACGGCCAGTGCGTTAGGCTGACAACCTTATTGCCATATGAGCCGATTGTCTAGATAATGTGCGACCCTCAACGTGTCACGACCCTATGGGCCTTCACAGGGATAGCTTTACTTACTTTTACTAGATGAGCGCAGTATCCTATGGAAACAAGACATCTTCTCATTTATAAAAGCACTGACTGATTATACTGTCCCTTGGGACAGCACACTGTGTAGTCCGGTTGATATTTACTGAACATTGTGGAGGAACCTGAAAAGGGTCAGGGCCCTACCTTCTGTATGTGATTGAAGCTCTTTCTCCACTTGACTTAGCACTGAGTCAACTTGGTTAAGAATCTTCTTGTACTCGTCTTTGTCCGTTACTGACGCGTGTTTAGTTTCCTGGAACTTTGCTTTCTGGAGCAGTATGTCCTGGATCTCGGGATTTCTCTCCGCATGCATTCGTAATACATCAGCGCTGTTCTTCTCAGCAGCTAAATAAATCACATTTTTTAATTATAATAAAGTTGCATCTGGGATAAGGTACAGAGCGTCTGAATGTCGTCACCGTACGCTCTAGACATCTGCACTGGCAAGAAGCAAACAGCGACATCTGACGTTTGTGGCTCGTATGACAGTGACTATGAAGATCATTATTTTCTGGGATGTGAAGCTGTGTACTCAAATAAGATTGTGTTAATGGCATTCTGGAGGATTGTAATGCCTCCTTGTTCAGGTTAAAAAAGTGTTGTGTTTTGGGGGAACATACTGCCCACAATCCTCTGAAATATTACTAATTACCAGATTATATCGCATTACATCTCAGAAAACAAAAATCTACATGGTGTGTGTACTGATCCAGCCCTGTTAGACCCAAGTAGAGAACGTCCCATAATTATTTTGATAGAAGACTGCATCGGGCCCACAGCTGCTTTAAAGTGCTGAGAGGAGAAACTGTCTCATGCCCATACCAAAATTTAAACACCAGCCATCAAGGTAATAACCATTCACTTTATCGAACATCATGGTTCATAGTATTCAAGTGGAACATAATCATAACTGCCTCTTTAGTAATCTGGGTATTTTATGAAACTCTGAGTATCTTGACTCGATAGCACTGAATGATATGGTAAATGCTGATAAATGATTTGCAGTGAAGCAATCGTGGCCTAGCTGATAATGGTGGCACTGGGCTAAGGCACGAACTGTCTTCACCCGCTTGAACACTGCGGTCGTGGGTTTGAATCCCACTCGAGGCATGGATGTTTGTCTACGTTCATTTTGTGTTTGTGTTATCCTGTGATGGGCTGATCCCCTGTCCAAAGAGTCCTACTGACTCTAAGATTAAGCAACTGAAATGAAATGAAGCAATTCACAGATGCTCAATGCTCCAAAGGGAGCAACAGTAATATGAATGAATGAGTCATGGCATAATCAAGATACTATCCTGGCATTTGGCTGGATGGGCTGAAAAACAATTAAAAATCTCAGGATATTTCATGTCCCAGTGGAGATTCAAACTGAACACCTCCTGAATATAAGTCGAGAGCATTACCGCTGTACCAGCCTGTTCAGTGAAAGAGAGAGAGAGAGAAAGAAATATGATTTATATGCTTACACTTCGATATAAACAGGGCGATTCTAAATTATTGTCGGGGTTTCTGTTAATAGCTCACAGAAACCTTGATAATAATTTACAATCGTCCCATTATTATTATTATACCTCATTTTCAGATGGAAGAAAAGGAAAAATAAAATGCAGGACTCATAAAATTACATGAACATATATATAGCCAAAATAAAACTGCCTGTGTGCATCAAGCCATGAAGACATGGCACAATGCTCCATGCATTCATAACCTGTATACTAGATGGAGTGACTGGTTCCACCCCCCCAGCCACTGTACCACAGAGGAAACAGGCTCCGATATCCCTTGGATAGATGGCTGTGTGGGCCCTAGAGACAGTCTGGATGCAATGAAAAAGAGAAAAAGCTTTGCCCCTGGCAGGAATCGAATCCCGATTCCTTGGTCATCCAGCCCATAGCCTATTCCCTATTGTGACCTGAGTGCATGTTTAAGTGGTATTTCTTGCTTCATGCATGTCGAATGCCAAATTAAGGAACTCAAGAGGAAGAGCTCCAGGAAGACAGAAAGAGGGCTTTAATTACTTGGCTGCTAGGAGATCTTCATACTTAAATAGCAGAAATGTGCCATGAGGAGGAAGACCAAGAACTCTGGACTACAGAATATGATTACAATGCACTTACCCATTAATGCCTTCCTTACTGGTTGAATGAATGGCTGTTTAGGATTCTGACAAAATTCTGGATGGAAAAATGACCCCATAGTTACGGTTCCGGCGGGTATGTGGTCAATAACTGTACGGAATTGAAGAACTTTCTGGCGTATTTCTGGACCCTGGTCCAATGGTATTAACCTAGGTGTATCACCTGCAAACATGCACACTATGTAGGGTCTGTGATTCTCACAGCATGGCAGTTATGATGAGTTCTATCTTCTGGGACATAACGCAATGTAGTCCACTGAAAGTCAAGGAACATATCACCTCCATCTTCAGGGTTGAAGAATAAGCCAAGGAAGAAACCAGCATGAAGTACATGGCAAGCAGAGCTCTTCTTGGTCCAGTATTAACACTTCTTATGGATCTGTTCACTAGCCGGTGCCATGTTTTCAATTCCACCACCTACAAGGTGTTCATTTACACAACTGTTAATAATGAATTTGGAAGGATGTACATGGTCCATTTTAAGGTACTGTCCAGTTGTTTCAGACCAAGGAAACTACAGAAACTGGAGGATATCTGGTCTGCAAGGCCAGGGCTTCAACCCCGAACTTCCAAAATACAAAGCAGGAGAGCTAACTGCGCAAACATTTGTGACAAACAGTAAATTATACTTTATATGTCTCTCTTATTTTTGCTACCAGTAACAATGCTACAATGCATTACTGATGGTGATACTGGTGTTTAAAGTCAGAAGACACTGAGATACAACAGTAAACTTGTCTACAGATAAATAATCTATTTACAATGGCCAATGAACTGTTCTGTTTTATTTATTTGGTAGTTTACTTAACTCTTGCCAGTAGCTCAGATGACATAGCATCAAAAGTTGATTAGTGAATAATGAATTGACAAGACTATGGGAATGAAATGGATATGATCTAATTTTAGGTACTATCCCAACATTTTCCAAGAGGGACTAAGGAAATCCATGACAAAAATGAGACTGGACTGTTTTGTAGGCTGCTAGTTTTATCATATGGTTCTCTACAACACACAGCATACACACCATTACTGAAGTTATCTTCGAGGTAGTCTAGTATTCTGCCTGAATCCGGAATGACTCTGACACCGTCCTTAAGAACAGGAACTTCACCACGAGGATTGATGCGGAGGAACCATGGCTGGAACTGCTCCCCTTTCGTCAAGTTAATAACATGTTCCTTATATGGTAACTTCTTTTCATGTAGAGCCATGATAACCTGCAATGCAGATGAACACTACTGACTAATTTAACCCTTTGAACCACACTGGTTACTATGTGTATCACCTGCTTTAACATTTAATAACCTATATTATGCCCACAGTGTATTTATGTGTTCGTGTGAGTCGCACAGTAAACAGCAATTATTTCCCTAAACAGTATTAACCTGTTGGGCTTTCTTATGGAGATGGAGTGTGTTTCCTGTGAGGTACGGGCTGAATTGCTATATATTCTGCCCACACAGTGTATCTGTGAGTTCCGTATGGTTCTCACAATAAACAGAGACTGTTTCCCTAAACAGCATTAACCGGTTGGGCTTTGTAGCAGAGACGTAATATGTTTCCTGTGATGTATGGACTGAATTCCTATGTATTCTGCCCACACAGTGTATCTGTGTGTTCCACATGGTTCTCACAATAAACAGCGACTGTTTCCTTAAACAGCATCAACCAGTTGGGATTTGTTGTGGAGACGTAATGTGTTTCCTGTGAGGTACAGACTGAATTGCTATATATTCTGCCCCCACAGTGTATCTGTGTGTTCCATATGGTTCTCACAATAAACAACGACTGTTTCCCTAAACAGCATCAACCAGTTGTGATTTGTTGTGGAGACGTAATGTGTTTCCTGTGAGGTATGGACTGAACTGCTATATATTCTGCTCACACAGTGTATCTGTGTGTTCCATATGGTTCTCACAATAAATAGCGACTGTTTCCCTAAACAGCATTAACCAGTTGGGCTTTGTTATAAAGATGGAGTGTTTCCTGTGAGGTATGGACTGAATTCTACATATCATTTGCTTCAAACTACACTACACAGTACTTAAGATCATAGTCGGTGTTATCACTTAACACACTTAAAGAGTTATTTATCAAAGAATGGGATGGGAATATGGTTGTGCACTGAATTCAGAAGGATATCAGAGGAAGAGTTCATAGTCTACTTTAAAGTACTACCCAACACTTGCTGGATATCACACTGAGAGATATGTCAACAAAGCTGGACTAAGCCAATATCTATTTATTTGTAGTTTACTTAATGATGCTGTCAGCAACTCCAATAATATACAGTATAAAGTGATAAGATGTGGAAGGAAGTGGTCATGACCTATTTTTGGGTATTAACCCAGCATCCCTGGAGGAACCAAGGAAAATTACAAAGGGCAGTATCCCTGCCAAGATCTGAGCTACACACACCCCTAAATATGAGCCAAGGGTGTTGCTGCTTGAGCTAGGCTGTGTGGTTCCCTGAGCTGGTCTGGGCAATGAGAAAATTATCTTCCCCCCTGCTGGGAATTGAACCCACTCATTTTTCCAGGACATTGACTAATGACTATCTTGGCTCCATAACCATATCCAGGCCCCATTCAACTAAATGTAGAAGGCACAGACAAACAACTTACATTATTTCGATATCCTCATAGCATGGAAAAAATCTGTCTGGGATAGCCACATTTGAAATACGCAAAATTTAATGCCAACAGTTACCCTTGTCCGCTCAAAGCAAGCAATAAAGCTTTAGCAGTACACTTGACCTAATTAAGGGAATTACTGTCTAAGTCTCTCAGAATCGGTCTATTCATATTTTCCTAACTGTTAAACAGTTCCATTCGTATTTTAAATATATGAAAGTCCTTAAATTATTTCATACTGCAGGAAAAATGGTTTATTCCCGTAATATGTGGGAAACATTTGTGTACAACACACATTTGTTTTCAAATTTCTCCGTACTGACATGGCTAACAGCCAGTTATCTGTCAATTGCAGCCTTTGTGTCTCCTCTCGAAATGTAAATTTCTGATCATTGTTACAAAAACAGGTCAGTGTTAACGGTTCTTTCAGGAGTTACAGCACAAATATTTTTCGAGTTCTATCTGCATCATTTAATAAGCACCACATTTTCTCCACTGTCACAAATTCATATATACCTTTTGCGAATAAAAGGAATAATGATGGTGATATAAGAGAAGCCCGTTCCCTTTCCCATTATCATTAGAGCTGCGTCCAACCTCTTCCTTCACAGTGGACGCGGCCATGTTTGAAGTGTGTGAGACACCTGAGGCATGATCTGACCCCCACAGCAACATAAACACTGCTGTGTAAATATCACAAGATTATAGCTTTGCGCCATAGCTATTTGGTTAGCGCGTGCTCTTAATGTTAAATCACAACAGTCTGTCGAATAAAAGTGCTAAATAAAATAACCTTGATTTATTTTAAATTTTTCTGTAGTTTTCCCTTCTATCTGGAAATGTCTCAATTTCAGGACAAAAGTCTAGCAATTAAATTTATTTCAATATTAAAGTGTTCAGCTTTACACTACCGCTGCTTTCTTCTCAACACACTTTGGAACCAACCTGACACATGAAACGTTTTTTATGTGATGAGTTTTCTCGTTACGAATTTCCTAATTACGCAATTAGGTTACAATTCTAAATTCTGAAAGAAGGCAACGAGCCAGTTGGGTCAGGCGATTTGATGTTTGGTAGGCGCACGTTTCGAATTTCGGGTGGAACATCTTTTATCCTGACAGCTTTTAGTGGATTTCCTGAGTCCATCAAGAAAGTCTTGACATAATACCTCGATTATGGCATAACCAATTCCCACCACATCCTTCCCAATTCATTGCTGGACTCTATAATCTACAATCAGTGTCGCGAAAAAAGAACAAATGACGATCAAGATAAACGCTGAACTTAAATAATCGGTGGTACCAATGGTGCAAATACAAGGTGACCGAAACATCTCGTCAGTTGGTACCCTTTCTCATTTTGTTAGAGAGAGAGAGAGGTAGAAGTGCTAAAGGTTCTTGGTTAGAGATCAAAAAGAGATTGTCATTCGTAAGAGTGGTGATTAGAAGCGAAGCAGATTTGTTCCATTGTGAACGTTACAATTACAGTATCGAGAAACAGCGTCCTAAAATTTAGTATAAGTTGTGCAATGGCAGGCAGTCCGGTTGTTATAAGTGCAACAGCAAAGCATACAGCAACGGTACGTGAATTTCTTTGCCTTTCATTTACTCGTTACGTGTACATCAGTGTGTGGACATAGTCATCATTATGTTCAAATACCGTTTATACTGAAAAATCTTAATAATACTTGAGCATGTCAGTACGGTCAGTGTTTAATGTCGTCTGTCCCCTTTTGTCCGTTCTTCGTATAATTTTTGATCATACAAAATACACCAGTTCCGTCGAATTAATATGTTCAAATATAAAACTGGCCCAGTAATAAGTTCTGTAATTTTTTCTTTCAGCTTATTTTCTTGCATGGGCTTGGTGATACAGGGTAAGTTTTATGGACCTTACACGATCAATAACACGCCCGCGCAACATAGTGTTATTGGCTGGCAGAATAGTGGCCGTGACGTCACAAAAGCAGTACTGCTTCCATCTATTTTCAGCCAAGGTAACTAGGTACAAAACGGCCACTAGCACATACAGCATGCGGCGAGATCTCAACCGGTAAGAAGGTATGGTATACCACCGCCTTTTTTTTTCCCCTTGGGAACTGTTCTTCGCCCTCACCCCATCAGAACCCGTAGTTCAGAAGAATATAAGTAAATAATTTTACATTTTTATGGTATACATCCCGATGTGTGTACTTCACTAAAAGGATGATTTTGAGACAGTCTGCACAGCAATAAGTTCATAAAATAAACAAGATAGACACTGAAGAAAGCAGTTTTCTGGGAATTGGCACCGTGTACATGTGGTGTTAACCGACGTTTCGGAGGAACGTATCGCCTCCATCTTCAGGGTAGAAGAAAAATATATAAGAAATCTGCAAGGAAAGGAACCGGTAAAAGCAGTCTGCTTTTACCGGTTCTCACGGTCTCTTTCCTTGCAGATTTCTTATATATTTTTCTTGTACCCTGAAGATGGAGGCGATACGTTCCTCCGAAACGTCGGTTAACACCACATGTACACGGTGCCAAATCCCAGAAGACTGCTTTCTTCATAGTCACCGCCGTGAAAGCCTCAAATCTTACAACATAGACACTATTCTGTCAACATCTGCTTTATTTATTCATATTGAGTAAATGACATAACTCAGAAACTGACGCCAAGGATTCATGTACGCCTGAGAATGACTGAGGTAAGGGTTGAAACGTGTAGTGGAGTCACTGGCGACAAAAGAAAGCAGATTTCTTTTATGCTGGGTTCAGTATCACCTCGTATCCATCAGGAGGAATATGACTGAAGTGATGCTGAACCCAGTTGCAAGAAAAAAAAATACAACAGAGTAAGAACCTCTGCAGTACAAGAAATCGGGTTGCAAAATTTTTTGTTGTGAGAAAGTTTCTCACCAGTGCCTATAAAGTATGAACATTTCATTTACATTAGTCTCAACTCTCCTTACAGAAATGCACTGCACATTGCGAACCCTAACATACTTGTGGTTAGGAAAGCTCTAGGTGGGGAAACCTGAAAGAAAATTCTGTTTCTAGCAGAGACACTCGTATTCAACCTCATACCCTTGCTCACAATTTACACTTGAAAGCCACACAAAACTTAGTTTTTCAGTTACATTAATCCATTATACAACATGTACAGCAACCAGTAATACTCGGGTTTTCATTTATTATTAATTTCCTTAGTATCATGAAACTTGAGAATCTGAAACACGCTCTTGTCAGCATCATTAAGATTGCATTTAATGATTATTGGAAGTAAGATATCTGTTCATCTTCACAATTTCAGTACTGGATAGGATTGTATGGCAAAAATAATAACATATCTTACAGAAATATATTGAATACTGAAAATCTGGTATCCATTCATTTTCCAGTTCAGTTCAGGGGGGACCAAAGAAGGGGTATGTAACGAAGGATCAGGAGGTTGTGGGAGCGGCTGTGCAGCAGAATCTGAGTCACACGGAACTGCCGTTCTGTTAAGGCGTACCCTTTCAGCTGTGGTGAAATCACTTTCTGTGAAATGTCTGTAGCACACATATTTAGAATGCAGGATGTACTAACTCCTCTTGCCCATACCACAGCCCTCTAAGAGCAGAACATATTATCTCAAAACCATGAAATAATTCTTCAGTAAACATTACAGACATGGCGCATGTGCTACATTGTGAGGTTATGCTTAATACATATAATGCAGACCTTGGATAAACTTAATTTCTTCCTTGGATTAAACAACACATTTTAAGGGAATTACATCATGAATTAAAACGGACATACCAATGCTGAAACCCTGGGAAAGTGGAAGAATTTCATTCCTCTTTGCCCACTAGATAGATGACAGACACCCAGGGGCAGAGCATATTGTCTTTCTTACTATTTATACTGCAGGAAACAATACAGATATTATAACACAATCACAGCACACCCCGAGTTTCTTGAGATTCTGCAGACCTTTGGGCGAAAGAGAAAGAGTTTTAACATATCACAACAGAAATATGATTTCCATGAAATATTATTAACAAAGAATTTTGACTTGATATGTATTTCTGACTTCATTCAGCACAGTAACCATACTATTCATATACAGAAATAACGTGGAGATGTAACTTCGTGCGTGAACGTCGACTCCTGTTTCACAACATCAAAGCAAAATTCATAATTACCAATTAACAGAAAAATGCCCACCATTACTCATTCAAACTACACAATAATTTATCCATAAACACCACCCATGCAACATGAAATCAAATAGGTTTCTTAGGGGCACTGTCATTGGTTCAGACACATATGATATGATACAACAGGTGTATTGTGATTGGTCCTCACCATTCCAGACTGACCTGTTCACTCCTGTTGCCCTTGGCTGAACATAGATGGCAGTGACGAATGCTTATGTTTCCCACTCCCCTAATGTAGTCACAACCGGATGATCAATAATAACATTATTACCTTATCAGAATGACATTCCTAATGATTGTATAAGGTTGATGGAACTGAAATGATGGTCAGTAATCACACAAATCCCGATTTTCTGATTTTGAGGCATCATTACTAGCACATGGTGAGGATACTGTCTTTAGTAATGACCTTGTAGAGTGCGCACGTCATTACTCCTTCATTACTCAGTTCGTTTTCAGGGTGAGCATGGCAATTAGATGTGGACAGTTAATGTGAGTTCTCCATCATTGAATCCCATACAAGTGGGGTGAATGCAGAAGAGTGCGAAGTTCTTTGAAACTTCATAGAGACATATGAAGCCTTACCGGAACTGTGGAACCCTACTAACTCAATGTACTTAAATAAGACAAAAAGGAATATAGCCTTGGACAAACTGCTGAACATATACGTTAAAATAAAACCAGGGGCTAGTCTCGCTGATGTGAGACAAAAAATCAACATGCTTCACTGTAACTACAGGAAAGAATTAAAGAAAACTGTGTCATTGAAAAGATGAGGAAGCGGTATGGATGAAGTGTATGAGCCTACCTCCTGGGTATTTTATGCCCTCCAGTTTCTCGACAAATTCGAGCAACCAGTCAATGCCAGAGTACAACAGATAGACAAGGTAAGTACCTACATGTATAAATTTTATCAATAATTTCTATATATGTACATAATAAAGAATTCTGTGTCGTGGTCCTTTTGTTACTGTAAGGGCGACGGCACACCAAGGAAACTGGCACCCGCAGTTTCCAAGAATTGTTATCAGCTTGAGTTGAACAGCGTAAATTGGGGAAACATCAAATTCAGTGCTCTTCGCCGTAAAAGTTCCCCAAATTTTGAGTAGTACAGAACTTCTCCATCTGATATTCGTCCATTCATGCCAGCATCTACCATGATGAATTCTCTGTTGCATTTATCACAGCTAACAGCACAGTGCTGAAAACCCCTTTGTAATTGTAGTATAAGGAACCTGATTTTGAGAGTTTTAATGGCAATACATTTGTCATCAGTTGCCCCCAAGGTATTACAAAATTGGTGTAATGACCGAAATCACTAGCGATGTTAACCCATTCCTCAGGAGTTGTGAGAAACTGAAAAAAAGGAAATTTAAATACAACAGATAAATACATACAAGATACATTTAGTAATAACAACAATAACAACAATTTGTATCTATATTCAGGACACTCATGATGGAACAGACTGTGAGGTACGCAGAGAGCAATTCCTGACATCAGCAGCCCCTACTGCATCACAATCATCAGTTCTTCCACCCCCACCACTACCACCCATGAAGCGACATGTGCTTGAACCAACTGCGAAACAAAATGAGCCTCTACAGAAAGCTTGTTCATATCTGGACCAACGGAGGGAACCCCAAGAAAATATCCCGACCTTTGCCAAGGCTTGGGGTGAGAAACTCAATACACTGGATCCTCAGCAAAGAGCTTTAGCTGAGAAAGCTGTTAGTGATATCCTTTTTGAGGCGAGTCAAGGCACTCTGTACAGATATTTTGTGAAAATCAATGAAGATCCCTGTACAGGACCATTTCGTCGCTAACCTCCTTCCCCATCACTTCAATCCTTCTCATCTGTGGATACCTCTTCTCGTCCCTCCCCAACTGAAGAACAAGAAGATGCATTGCCTACATTCTTTACAAACTCTAAACCCTAATTATGATCTTTTATGTTGTTTTGTAACAGTTTCATGTTTTGTTAGTCACATGCTTTTCAATACAATTTTTTGTGTTTCATTGTTCAAGATATTGTATTCTAATAAATAATTTCTAACTAGTTGATATGTTTTAAATATACCCTACTGCACTTGAATTTTAACTTATACGATGAGCAAATCATTAATACAAAACAATTATACAAGAGAGGACTGACCTTGCAGAACGTATACAGTCACTTCACATGTTTCAACAACAGCAACGCTTATTGCAGCAGGTGACATGACAGCTGAAAACATGAGGTCTTCAAAGTTTATTCCTGTAGCCAGGTACCTCAGGGTCACTGCTAATCTTTCATTCACCTGTAAACTCTTCCTCGTGTTAGTGTCTTAAAAAGGTAAAGTTGTCCCTGTGCTTAACTAATTAAGCACTACACCATGAAGTCATATGGGGGAGTGGATGTATAGATCCACATTTTCTTGACCTCAGCACTAGCTGGAGGTGAGTGGTCAGCTTCACGCTTCTGCTGCTTTACCCCCAGGTACCCATTGGATAGGCTGGGTGGGCCCCAGAGCCTTTCTGGACAACATGGAGAAGTGAAAATTCTTTCCCCCACCAGGACTCAAATTCTGATCCCTCAGTCATCCAGCCCATAGCCACTCACTATACCAACTACACTATCACAGCTCTTCCATAGTAGTGTCCTTCCTTAACAAAAATGGTTCGACCATTCTGAGCAACTTATCAAATGTTCCTTCACTCATACGAAAATAGTTTCTGTAATCCTTTGATTCCGTCACACCAATTTCTTTTAGCAGAACAATATGGTAACACTTTCCACTTTTTTTAACCAGTTTTTCATCCAGTGTTGGTGCTTAACATTTCGTTTTGTGCCTAATGCTAGAATTATAGCAGTACACGCTTTTCTCCGAGGATCCATTATAATGCCGAAGAAGACCTACACAAAATATATGTGCATCTCTCTTGGTGAGTCGAGCAGTACTGAAGGAAATAATATAATTTCAGATGATCGTGTAAGATTGAAAAGTAATGAAGGAGTAATGAAGGAACACTTCTGGAGCTAATGACATTGTTATTGATCGTGTAAGGTCCGCTTTTAAATCGTATCTCTTATAAGCATAATCAGACAGCTGGTTCATATATGCTTTTCAGTGTATTTAGTTTACTTAAGATAAGTCCCATGTGTCACAAGGAGATCTCCAAACTGTATTTTCATTTTGTTTTCTAGCCATGGTTGGGCAAGTGCTATGGGTGCAATCAGATCACCCCACATGAAAGTGATCTGTCCTACAGCGTAAGTTTTAATCTTGTCATTTTATAATAAAAGAAATTTAGTTGTATAAGAATTAGGGATGTGATTGTATATATTTACGCTTAAATTTGATATATGTTTAAACTTTATATAATCTTTAATAGCTAAGTTCTCTCAAGTAAAATGTTTATTGTTTGACTGAAGTTTAATTATCTGTGATATATATCGGGAATAGCAAGGTTTTTACATTAAATTTATTGAACTTGAAGTTATTTTTGTTGTGTGAGATACAGTAACATATATTTATGTATCACTTTCCAGACCCACGATGCCAGTCACACTTAATGCAGGATTCAGAATGCCATCTTGGTAAGAAAACGTTTTACATGAATTTGTATAATAAGAAATGTCCGTTACATATTGTTCAGTGATCGTCCCCAAATTCTTACCAAACTTCTTGTTATGTGGCATGAAAGGGGAGGGGTGGAATGTGCCAGGTACACAAATCTGCTGGTTGCATGAGAGAAACTCAGAGAACTGCAAAGCAGTGTCATCAGAATTATGTGTACTGTGTACTGAGGGTGAAATATTTTGCATATACTCGAACCTCTTCTGACCAGCACTTGCATGAGGGAGAATGATGGACAGTGGTCAATCCCAGGTCTGGTCAAGTGGGATTTTTGGTGGACAAAGTGGCGCTGGGGCAGGTTTTCTCCGAGTATTTCGGTTTCCCCTGCCAGTCTTCATTCCACCAAATTCTCCATCATAATCACCCAGGGCAGGTACAACAGGCCAATCAGTGGCTGCCGTGCCCAGTGGACCCAGCTGGACTCCACCCCCCACTAGCAAATTAAAAAAAAGAAGCCAGTAGTGTAGAAAATGTGGGAGTCTCAATGTGTCTCAACCATATGAAGCTCCATAGCCTGTTACAGGATAGCTTTACCTTACCTTTTACTCTAAATACTAGAGTAGAGAAATGATAGTTTTCCTCAGTCCCACCAGGCAAGTGCTGGACTGGTATATCAAATCAGGCCATGACTGCTGTTCCCACATTCTTTCCAATTCATTATTCACGAATCATCCTGTAATTTAGCGGTATGTAGGTGGGCTGCTGACAGCATCACTCACTAAACGTTGCATAAACAGTGATATGGTTGTGTTTCGGTAACTCACTCACAGCAGAAGGATATATTTGTTGCTTGCAGGTTTGATCTGCGTACATTGGATGCGAACGGGCCAGAAGATGAGGAAGGAATCCGCCGAGCAACAGAACTCGTCCATTCACTGCTCGAACAAGAGATAAACAATGGAATTCCCTCAAATCGCATTGTCCTTGGAGGGTTCTCACAAGGAGGGGCTCTAGCACTGTATTCAGCTCTTCTGTTTCCAAAGCCTCTGGCAGGTGTGATAGCTTTATCCTGTTGGTTACCCTTGCACAAGAATTTTCCAGCAGTAAGTATACACTGTTATTATTATTATTATTGGAGGGGGTGGGTTTCCCCATGCATTGTGATTAGTTGTTAATCTATTGTGCGTCCCCCTTTAATATTCAACCAGTCGCCATGCCCTTCCAATACTGGTGCTCGCTATCAGCCCCGTTCTGCCAGCGAGGTCGGCCCTCACTGGCAGTGGTCCCTGATACTTCCCCATCTACTGGAGGAATTGAAAACTACTTGGGCGGCAAACTTTTGCCTAATTTTGCTCAGAGGTCTCCTAGAGACATGAGGATCTTTTACGTGCCATAAATCTACAACATGGGAGGACTTGTTCCCTGAATTTTTCACCCCTTAAAAATTCCACGACCTCCGCTGGGTTTGAACCCGTGTACCTTGAGTCATGAGGTGGGAACGTTACCCCTAGACTACGGAGGCTGCTTAAGTATACACTAAGCATTCTGGATAAAGTAACACATGACAGTAGTCACATACATAATCGCTATGGACACAGAAGTGGCAAATTTTAACACTATATTGTTTAAGTTGTGCATGTGCTTAAGTGGGCCATGTTTGAGAAAAAACCACAGGCAAGTATCACTGTGTTTGCATTTTTTGCCCCTCCATGCAAGCTACATGTCTGGCCCATTATAACCTTGACTTATTCCAAGAATACAGGTAACCTGCACAACTCACAAAATTCCTCCTTGTGTGTCTTCCTAAATTTCAAAACTTTTTCAGTTGATACAGCATTTTTAAGTAATCTACAAACCAATTGTTAATGTTTGCACTTCAGTAGTCAGGGTCTAGGCAGTAGGTGTCTTGCACGTGATATTTTGAGGTTTGAGGTTCCCAGATCATTGGCTATGAAGACTACTCTCTCCTGGAATGTGACACCTTGTAGTGTGGAAACTCTTCTGTTCTGCAGCTGTAGGCAGTAGATTGCTCCAAAATGTTGACAGTGATCAGGAGTGTAGGCCTAGAAATAAACATAGTGGGGTGGTCTGGTATGCGGTTCCAGGTTGGTTTAAAAAATGACATGAATCATGATTTGAAGCTGTTCTTTTTATTGTACAAGGGAGAGTCAATAAATTGGACACAAATAGAAGTAAAATGGATGTAATAGGTTTTCTATGTGTATCACTAGGTAGCAGCACAGTTCAGCCTCATGACAGTCTAGGTAGCAGAGGCTCATGCATGTGTTCACAGGCTGGTTTCAGTAGTCAAAATGGTGACTGTGCTACCGAAGAGCTGCCTTCTGTTGTGCTTCTTTGTGTGAAAAAGGACTTTGAGCAAAGGATATTCATAAGAAATGTTTCCTGTTTACGGTGGGAAATGTTTGTTGGGTAAAACTATTCACAACCAAGGCAAAAATTTTCTCGCCGACATTCAAAAGTCACAGATGATGCCTGACCAGATGTGGAAGTGGCTGAAACAGAAGTCAGAATACTTCTGTGCTGTGGGTTTTGACACACTGGCAAAGTGATGGGACAAGTGTATCAATATTTGTGGAGGATATGTCTAGAAGTAAATGTTCTAATAGCACATGTTTCACGTTTTGTATCCATTTGTGACCTATGTACTCACGCTCCCTTGTAGAATGTATTGGGATAACAAACGGCTGGCAAAATGCACATCACTGAGCAAGTTAGCTCAGGCGATAACAATTCTAACTTCCATTCTGAAGGTTCTCAGGTTGAATCTTGGCTGAGAAATTCTGATTTTCTGGTTTTCTCAGTCTTTCCAAGAAAATTTTGGGATTAGTACCTTAAAATTAATCCAGAACCACTTCCTTTCACATCCTTTCTTATTTATTATTCACTGTCATATAATTTGATACTGTGTAGAAAGTCACTGATAACATTATTGAGTAAGCTGCAGAAAAACATGTCCTCAAACACAGAGGTCTGAATTTAAGTGAGCTAGGTTATGTGTTTATGCTTTGTCATCGCTGTTTCTAAAATAAGTGCCATGGTGATTATCTGGCAACCCAGCTGCCCTGACCTGCCCAGGCTGGACTACAGCAGACTACACAGCATCCCATAAAATTGTGCTCTACAAGTGGCAGTTTAGTTTCCCACTATTATAAATTGTGATTATTGTTAATTTGATTTTCTGTTATTACAGGCTGCGGTCGCAAACACAGACATTCCTTACATTCAGTGTCACGGGGACTGTGATCCTATAGTACCGTACAAATGGGGACAGATGACTGCGTTCCTAATGAAACAGTTCTTAAAACATACTGAATTTAAAACATATAGAGGAATGATGCATTCATCATCTGATGAGGTGAGTTTATCCAAAGTATATTACAGACCCTGTGACATGATGCCCTAGTTACCCTTGCAGCTACATTCAGAGGGCTGCAAATCTCATCTGTGTTGGTGTTACCTTATATTTATGTTGTCTTCTGTGTGTAACAGTAAATAAAATACATATTTTGAGGGCAAGAAAGACCACAGAGAATAGAAGGTTGCCATCTCTTTGTGACAAGGTGAACTAACTGTAGGTGACCTGACCAAAGAATTCTCATCAGTGACGGAGAAAAGGACTACATAGCAATATGTCCCAGAGGATAGAACTCTTCATATCCACCACTGTGAGAACCTAAAATCCTATGAAGGGTAGGGCTTGTTTCCCTACTGTATCATCCTAGCCTGCCTGCTGGTGTCTTTCACCAGATGCTACAGTAGAATGAATAATCCAGCCAATAGGAGCAGGACAATGGGGTGGAGTAAGGAGAATGCAAAGGTCATGCCATAGCTCAAGCGGTAAGTCGCTGGCTTCCCACCACGGTGGCTCAGGTTCAATCTTGGGTCTGGTCAAGTGGGATTTGTGGTGTACAAAGTGGTGCTGGGGCGGGTTTTTTCCAAGTACTTCGGTTTCCCCTGCCAATCTTCATTCCACCAAATTCTCCGTCATTATAATCACCTGGGGCTGGTACAATAGGCCAATCAGTGGCCGCCGTGCTGAGCGGATCCAGCTGGACTCCACCCCCCACTATGCGAATTAAAGAAAAAAAGGGGAAATGCATGAAGGGAGGGTAGAGTAGGGAATGATCCATGAGAATTCGGTGCCCATTCCCATTGTAATATAGTTTCAGCAGGAAAAGTTAACAAAGATGTGGTGTGGTTGTTTCGACACAGCAGTTGAGCGCATCTCAGAAACATCAGGCAGCGGTGGATTAACCGCAGCTGACTTGGTGCATGAAACGAGTCATTTTTCAGAAGCTTATACTTATTCAGCTGGTGATAAAAGTTCCACTTCTGGTGCCCGAAAGTGTGTTACCATGCAAAGAGCCTGCCACATGACCAGCACTCTGTAACATTTTGTGACATCAGGATTTGATAGTGACAGTTTGTTAGTCCTCTGTGTAGGAAGCAGCACCCCTTGTCAGCTGTCAGTGGCTGACCATATTCACAGCTACCCTGCATATCTGAAAGTTCTCTCCCACATCCACAACCCTAAGACATTCCAAGCCGTGCTGATAAGAGGACTACTTTACAGGGTATTCATAGCCTTAATGTGACTAGTAAAGAGCAGTTTGAAATCGGTGGGAAGAATGACTGATTGATTGTTGGCTAATTATGGATGATGAACTGAGAAGAATATGTAAGAAAATGATCATTTATTATTTTTATGTACTCCAACCATCACAGACCAACCATCTTACTAATTAACTAAGACTCTGGTAGCAGAACCAGAAGGTTCAACACCGCTAATACCAAAGCCCGCCACTGGACACGATCCTGAGCCAGTTCCATCCACCTCCCATTCTGACAGCCCATTTCCCTAAGATCCATCTTACTAATTAACTAACTCTGGTAGCAGAACCAGAAGGTTTAACACCGCTAATACCAAAGCCCACCACTGCACACGATCCTGAGCCAGTTCCATCCACCTCCCATCCTGAGCCTATTTCTCTAAGATCCATCTTACTAATTAACTAACTCTGGTAGCAGAACCTGAAGGTTCAACACCGCTAATACCAAAGCCCGCCACTGGACACGATCCTGAGCCAGTTCCATCCACCCCCCCCCATCCTCACAGCCTATTTCCCTATGATCCAATGTACACTTGCTTTGACAGAAAGTGTGAAGTAATTTTTTTTCTTCCAGGAAATGCGAGACCTGAAGACGTTCCTCGACAAAGTCACTCCACCAGAGTAAATGGTCACCATCTCTGGTACATCAAATTGTTAATACATGGTAGACTGACAGATGCCACTGGTGAGGTGGCAGGTGGCAGAATGTCTGATAGCACCTTCTTGTTTAACAGCTCATTTATAAGACTCAAAAATTCCTGTCCATTATTTATTGAGGTTTCCGTCACCCTACCCACACATTCCTGTGTTACAGAGTACCACTCTTTAAATGTTAGGAGCCAGGATAGCATAGTCGTTACAGTGACTGGCTGCGGGCTGAACGACCGAGGGGTCAGTGTTTGAGTCCCGGTAGGGTCAAGAATTTTCTCTTCTCCATGTCGTCCAGACCGGCTGTGGGGCGCACCCAACCTCCCATCCAATGGGTACTGGGGGTCTCTTTCCCCGGGGTTAAAGCGGCCGGGGAGTGAAGCTGATCACTCACCTCCAACTAGTGCCAAGATCAAGAAATGTGGCTCTATCCATCCACTCTCCCATAAGCCTTCATGGTGTAGTGCTTATTTAGTTAAGCACGGGGACAGCTTTCACTCTTTAAATGTTAAACTGTTCATCTCACAAACCAAACCAAGCATAATATTAAAGAAAAATACAATTTTTTTAAATAAACACAGTGATTAAACACTTGTATTATAAAAATAAAATGATACAGAAATAACAATAATGAAGTAAATATATAGTGTGTAAGAGATATATATATATATATATTTTTTCTTCCAAACAAAAATGTAGGTGAACTGCCTTTTGGTACCACACACGTCTGAAGATGAGAACATTTTGGACTAGTATAGTTTTGTTCGGAAGTTGCCTTTGCATTCACAGTGAGATGGTTCTGATAAATTTGTACAAAATGATAAAAAGTTTTAGGGTTGGCAGCACCAGAGAACTGAAGATGCAGCTTTCTGCAAGGAGTTAATGTATTTTTGGTACATCCTCTGGATAGTAATTTGTTCTTCCGTATTTGCATTTAGTAACATTTGCTTTCATCTTAGTTGCAGAATGATCAGCGGCTGTTGAGGGAAAAACAGATACGTCTTGAAAAATGTCTGTTTTGTGTGGTTTTTCAAAAATTCTTGCAGATTTTAAAACTGTTTCTTCCAGTATTATTGAGCTGTGAGATCATTAAATTAGTCAGTAGTGTGCAAAGTATGTATAAATGATCATAAAATGGGAAGCAGTTAAGGTAGTTAACTGGTGAAAAACATTTTGTTACCAGCAAAACTTCTTAACCCACAAGAGTTATAATTGTAAGGGTGCATTTCTCGTATGTTTATTTAGTGATCTTTGTTTTCTTTTACGCATTGAATGTAAAACAGTACTGTTGATGGTTCAGGTATGTTCATGAGTACAGAACGGGTTTTACATAATTTTTATTAAGTTCCTGTCAACGTATATGTTTTTAAACCTGTAATTTGTTCAAATATATTCACAGCAGAAGTTACAGAGTTTCCTGAATTTCAAACCAGTTGACTGAAACAGGAGAAACTGATTTTTACAGCACACCAGAATTTAAATCTGGTGGTTCATATGGTTCTTGAAGTAACTCAGTAGCTGTTGGCTGTTTGTACAGCTAACATTTTGGGATGCTGTCACATTAATGTGAACAACACTAAGTACATTTAAAAGAACAGAGAAATGTTGCTTTTCCTTTTTGAGCATTACTAAGACCACAGAAAAAACTTCCATGTGTCAACACACTTGACATGTGCATTGAACAGTTGTGATTACATCAGACCTGAAGATTTCAGCATACATGTACTTCCCTCTGTTCTGCTGTAATCATCGAGTCATTTGTGCACACCTGTGTCAGTAGTAAACAACCTTTTTCGTGATAAATGCCTTAGGCAGATTGGTGTAGGACGGAGGCAGCTGGAGATGAATACAGCAGGCAGAAAGATGGATGATCCCTGCCATGTGTGGAGCTTCTTTCTGTGGCCTTGGTATGGGATAACGGGTTTCTTCACACAAAGTAGAAGAGGAAAGTATCAGCATATGACAGTTTTGGGTCTGTTCCCCAAGAAATGTTGTGGCTTATAGTAAGTAGCTTGCCCCTTTTCCTCATCTAATGCTGAGGTTAAGAACATATGGAACTTAGAAGCATATTAGCCTTGTGCCCAAAATGTCTCCTGTTTGACCTGCTATACAAAAATTCTCACTGAATAAGTCCAGGTTGAATCTCTGGACAGTCTATATAGGATTTGTGGTGGATAGCGTACTGGGGCATGATTTTCTCAAATCACTTCTCTTTTTCCCCTGTCATTTCACCAGTGCCCCAGTCATCAGGGACTGGTAGAGTTGGCCCACTTGCGAAGTACCAAGGGGACTCAGTCTTACCCCACCACAAAATAATAAATAATGTTGAGCTTTACATCCATCAACACCTCTTTTTCCTCTTTCTGAGGCAGTTATACCTTTACCCGTTTTAACACAGTCGTTTGTAAAGGCTCATGAACCAGTTAAAATATCAGTTCACCTAATTTTCAGTTTAATGTTACAGTGTACCTTCTTGGACCTGAATATAACACAAGTTTTCTGTCTTGGCATTTGGAGTATTGGTCATCCAGCATTCATAATAGTTCCCTAGAACAAACGGTTTTGTCATCAGTAATACAAAGCACACCTGAACCGTGCTGGGTGAAATCACTAAAGCCTCTTCCTATGAATCCCAGGATGGTTTTTGTCCCTTTATCAACGTTTTGATTATCCTGTGTGTTGTTATCCCCTTGGTCAGTAACAAGATGCCAGTTGTAGAAGCCAGTCTTTCCATTCATTGTGAATGATTATTACAGTTCTGTTGGTATCCTTGTATCACTTCAGTGGTGTTTATTACTTTCAATCTTTGGATTCCTTTTAGTTTAAAACCCAACTTTCATTACCGTTAATTGTCACGCCCAGTGTGATGTCACATTGTGTATGTTGGTAAACCTCGTCCAACAAGCAGTGACATACAGTCATGCGAAAGGGAAGATGGGGGAAGTAGGAACGTGGTTGGTGTATTATCACGTTACTTGGCTATTTGATCTGCACAAAGTCAGGCAGCAGGCTGACCTGCTTCACCTCCCTGAAAATTTTCCAGCCAAGTGGACTCAACCTTGTTTATGACTTCACCAAAGGAACAGAATATTGTTTCTGAGTGCAGGAGCCATCACTTGTGGTATAAGCTCCCCCTTTTGACAACACTACACAGTATCAGGTCTCAGAAGTCTGTAATTTCATGTAATACAGCATATCCTTTCCACCATCACCAGATACAAACTGGAGAAATTATGAATGTGACTGTTAATGTTGTCAGGAAGTGATCTTGGCTCATCAGCAGATCGAGAGAGAGCTAGCACATCCAGATTTGTACATTTATAAGTCGTGGTGTGTTTATCTTTTCCATGTTCTTTTATGGAAGCTTGAAATGTCAGTTTAAACTTTAAAATAATTATAATAAATATTCTTAGGTTCATTCCTCTTAAGATTTGTTGTGCATAAAGTGATACTGGAGCAGGTTTTGTATGTATCTTTGGTTTTTGCTCGCTGATCATTCTACTGTTGCTACACATCCACCCTTCACTGTCTCCTGTGTAACAGCTCTGACCACGCAGCACATTGTCACGACCTTTGTCTTTAACTTGGGGGCTTCATCTCTGATCTGGCACTTGGCTAGTTACAGAGGAAGGAAGTTAAAAGTTTCTTTTAAAGAAGATTTGTCTGTAAAATGGTAGGTAATTTTTTATTTTGAAATTTGAAGTGTGTTGTGATCCTAGAATTGAGTGTCAGAAATCCTACTGCCCCATACCACCCTATTTTAAGCACTGTTCTACTTCAGAAAGGGAAAGGAACATGTTAACATATTTTAATGTCTAAATAATGTGTAACATCTTAACTTCTGTATTTGTTACCTTACATTACATAATTTTGCAAGGAAATAAGTATATGTTATTTAGTTCCAAAGGGTTCTGACAGTGGTATGTTATGCTTGGAATGGCTAAGTTTCAGGACTTTATCCATCATCTAACATTCTGAAAGAACACTATGTTTTGGAAACTGGATCAGGTTCAGTCAGAAAGTGAAAGGGTGAAGAGGGACATACTCAGGTCTCCTAGAAAGACAGTCTCAATCCCTAGACCATTCTAGTGACTGGGACTGTCTCTTTCTAATGGACCCAGCTGAGTCCAGTGATTGAGATCAGCTCTTTCTGATGGACCCAACTGAGTCCAGTGATTGAGATCAGCACTTTGTAATAGACCCAGCTGAGTCCAGTGATTTGAGATTATCTCTTCGTAGTGGACCCAACTGAGTGCAGTGACTGAGATCTGAGATCAGCTCTTTGTAATGGACCCAACTGAGTCCAGTGAATGAGATTAACTCTTTGTAATGGACCCAGCTGAGTCCAGTGATTGAGATTAGCTCTTTCTGATGGACCCAGCTGAGTCCAGTGATTGAGATTAGCTCTTTCTAGTGGACCCAACTGAGTGCAGTGATTGAGATCTGAGATCAGCTGTTTGTAATGGACCCAACTGAGTCCAGTGATTGAGATAGCTGTATTAGTGGACCCAAATGAGTAGGTACTTCCCAATCTTTTCACCCCAGGACAGAAAGCGCTGTGTTCTTTCAGAATATGAGACAGTGGACAAAGTCCAGAAACCCAGTAATATGGAGCATAACTCAGTGTTCATTATAGTGGTTGTCAGAAAAGTTCCAGATGCAGTCCAGGAATGTATATGTGTATTATAGATGAATTATTAACAGGGTATTGTATGGATTGTGGAGAAGTAAAACTGAAAACCAGTTGAGTTCCTATCACAATAGGTACTTTCTCTTTTCATGCAGTATAATGGTACACACCAGCGCTTCTCAAGGTGACAGTTACTGTGAATTCATTCATGTGTGAAAGAATTTGCTGTGGCCACACATTTTTCTCCTCTCCAAATACAGGATGTTTCATGGATACATGAATCAAGTGACATTGAATAAAAAGAAAACAGCTGTTAACAAGGATCCAATTTGGAAAGTTTAAGGAATCATGGCAGTTTAAAAGTGGGTTATAACATAGCAGAAATAAGGGCTTTTAATGAATATTTTTGCAATCACTTCAGAATAGAACAAAAATAAGTGTCATTACTGGTTAGTTTAGGTCTTCCCCTGGTTGATTTTAGATGTTTCTGCTCTTGGGCCTGCACACTGTAAATGCGGGGAGTGTAGCCTACATCTGAGGGGTACATGCATTCACCTTCAGGGTTCAAGTATATGTAGATTTTGATCCAGCTAACTAAGGGGGAGGAAGGGTAAGGGCTGATACCTGGTCCATTGTCCCTAGAGGTCTGGACTAGGCACCCTCCACCCTTCCCCCTGTGGGTGTCTTGCTTTGAACCTATATATATAAAATGAACTCTTGCCCTTCTGACTTCAACCCTGAAGATGGAGGCAGCATGTGCCTCCAAAGACCCAAGAGCACAGTCAGAATAAGTAAGCGTTAAGGCAAAACCATCACTTCCATATTCAATGTTAAAACCAAATTTTATTTTTCAACATTTTCTTATTAGCATAGATAAAGAACTCTTAGGCTCTGCTGTGCCTTGTTGTGAATGCACATATGAGCACAGTGTATTATGGAAGTGGTTGGCAGCACTGTCTATTTATTGTGTTATATGTGTACGCATGGCTTATTTAATGATGCTTTAACTGTCTTAGATAGCATCAGATAGATGACTGATGAATTGGAAAGGATTTAGAAGGAATAAGTTGTGGCCTAGTTGAGGTACTATCCCAGAATTTGCTTGGAAGGACTGAGGAAAGCCACAGAAAACCTTAGTCAAGAAAGACAGTGTCCTGGCCAAGATGTGAAGTGCACACTTCCCAAATGCAAACCAAGAATGTTACTTCTAGGCAACCCTTTTTGGTTCAACTGTAGCGGGCACTTCAAACAGTTTTGTACCATGTTTCAGCATTAAATGACAGTTATTTTCCTTTTACATTGAAGCTGTTACAACTTTTTCATTAGAAGCCCTACCGGCTGGTGTTAACCTTACTTCCAGATGCCATGATTCCATAGGCTTTCTGAATTGGATACACGTTAATCTAATAGGCGTTTTTTACTTAAAATAACTTTCTTAGTGTTCGCTGTGTCTAAAAGATGTTATAGGATGTGACATCAAATAATGAAAAATCATTACATCATTTTATAATATTTCAGCATACTGTTGCATTGGTACGTCACTCATCCACTTGTTTCCATCTCTAATGCAACGGAAACTTTTATTTTAAAATTTAAATTTCTTAAAATGTCGTTAAAATCACATTTTATTCCACTGTTGCGACATGCTTCGGCACTACAAGGCCATCCTCAGGCAACGATTGATTGACTGATCGAAACTGCTACACTGTATCAGTGTACACTGTGTCAGTACGAGTGTATTGCACGCTAGTATTGCACGTCGTCGTTTGAGAATATATGCCCACGCTTCATTCACTTTATTCTATATTCACCATGCAGTGCGGACCAAAATTGCAGTACTGAAGATTCTATTGAACAAACAGGACTTTTTTACTGCAAGGTTCTACCTGCTTAAGGTGTGATGTGCTGTCAGAGATGATATTTTAGTTTGTCAGTGTCCTCCTCAATCTCCTTGTATTCAAGGAGATGTTATAAATCTTAAAATTAGAATAAAATTTGATAACATTTTAATCCGTACCACAGTTTACTGTTGCATTAACAGTAGTCACACTTGAGAATCGCTGGTATGGGCTATGTGTAGAATTGCTTGGTGCATTTATAATGTTATGTTATGCCATAAGTACAGAATGTCCCATAAACATATATGAAGGTGATATTGAATAATTTATGAACTTAATAATGTTGTTGTTCACAAAGAGCATTGAAATACAAACACCAAAATTTGCCAGTGTTCTTTCACTCATCATATTTTAGCTTTTTTATGCAAATCATTGGAACATTTCTAATTACCCACAGTTCAGTAACTCATACTTGGTCAAGAGCGACCAGTGGCTGATGTGCAGTACTTGAAAATGAACTCCGAAAAGTACTGCTGTAGGGGTGACGGGTCAGTTGTGATCTAGCATATGGTTCTGTCAGTCATGTAATCCAAAAAACGTCCACATTGTGATTCTTTAAGTTATGAAAAGATAAGAAAAAGTAAAGCTATCACTTTAACAGGCCGTGAAGGCCCATAGGGTTGTGAGACGTCAAGGCTGCCACATTTTCTAGACAGTCGGCTCACAAATGGCGGTGAGATTGTCAGCCTTGTGCATCTGCTGCTCTTTACCCCCAGGAAGATTCCTGGTACTCATTTCTGTTAGAGGCTGAGTGGACCCCGGGGGCCATCATGATGGTTGGAAGGATTACCTAAGAACTCTTGGATTTGAATGAATGATAATACAGGAAGACAGCAGTTTTATTATGACAGACATGCAATACTCTACACATCACATCGAAGATACTCTGCCTGCGTTGCACTTCAAATGTTGATTACTCCAAAACGATACTGTAGACTGGTGGGATTTCGTACCAATACCCAAACTGCAGACACATCATTTCCCTCCCTTAACCTCCTCTGATATAATGCTACCAACTGCAAAAGGGCTGAAAGAACCACATACCCTTGGCCAGCTCCGTGCGATTCTGTGAAGCAGAAGTCTCCCTTGGTTATGAAACCAATAACTGTCCTACTGCATGAATCTTTTACAGTCTGCGTCTGCGGCAACCAGAGAGAACGCAATATATCTTGGTGTTTATCTGTTACACCCTTAGTCGGGGGAGGTTCCTTTGCTTTTCTCTTTCTGACTACAGGAACAGGTTTAGGATGACTTTCATCTTCTGAGTTGCCTCGCTTTACTGCAGCGAGGTCTTCAAGCTTCCGTCTCTCCCTCACTCGTTTCCTGCGTAAACGTTTCAGCAGTTTCTTGTGTTCTGTCCGTAGTTCTTTCCGTTCCATTTGACGCTCATCATTATGGATCCCCTCTGTCGGACCTGGACTGTGGACGTCTTTGGATATGTCGTCTATATCCATCTCTGAGGGAAGACATATGATGGCACAATCTGTCGGACTTCCTCTGCCACACATGTAAATTGTTATAGGCACAAGGCAACAGTCCTTACAACTTGGGAACAAATTGCTTAAATCAGGGAAGTCTGAAACAATCCGAGAACTGTTTTTAATGTTCTTTGTGTTCAGCGTGCTGACAGCGGCTTTCAGAGACTCCAACTTCTTCCTCTCTCGTAAGACAAAGAATTTAGATGAGTGAGTTTTGTTTTCTGTTTTGCACTGCATATCAACATTTTCAGAGGTCCTTTGTGACCATTCATTGACGAGAACATCCCAGCAACAGAAAAATGGACTGGTGACACCAAGTTTTACATAATTTGGTCTTTTATCCGGCGGTAATCTGTAATAAAGAACATGCAAAAACATTCATAGCCACAGTGACTGATTCACTGAACAGATGGAAAGTGAGGAAAAAGCAGACCAACGTAAAGTAGCGTGAGGAGGGATATATGGGTGATCTAACCGAAGAGCTTGAGACCAGTAAACACAGACTGACCTGAAATGGCGTTCAGTCAATCGGGTTTTCTGGGCCTCGGCTTCAGTGCTGCCAGATACTGTATCAGGTGGTAACACGGATTCACTGCCTGCCTCAAACCCCAGAGACCCGGACTCTCTCAGGCCTCCAGCACGGGCTCCACGGAACACTAGGGCCAACCATAAAGGTAAGGCCCATCCAGCGGGCATAACCACATCCCAGCCTGATGCAAAACCTGCCAACATAACACAGCACTTGCTTACCTCGAAGCCACAACTTAATAAGCCCTTAATCCACAATATTACAAATGCTTTTCACCCCTAACACTACAGCATTTATCAAAGTTTAAAGTTATTTTATGGTGGTGCATCACAGTATTTGAAGCTATCTCTTTAGACTTAGTTCATTGGCCTGGGTGGTTATACAAGATGGTTCGCCTAGAGGAGGCCCCCAGTTAATTAATACAAAGTAAACAGTAGTGTTCCTAACAAAAATGAAACTTAGAAATGCAGTGTCACTTGCAACGCTGACCCAGTGCCTGCCTGCACAGTTTTTTCTGTTTCCTTCAATCTGTGATCCCTCCTGCTGTGTTGGCTTCGTTACATGCGTGAACATGGAGCATCATGTAGGCCTGTGTCTCCAGGCAGAGGAAAGTCAGTTTCAACATCTGGATCCCAATTACCTCCACATCTACTGACATACATGAAAAGTTTAATTTTCATCAGAAAAATTTATCAGGATTGCCTATTAGTGAATCACCTGTACATAGAAAACATGGAGCTTTGGAAATTGGTTATTTTTCTGTCTATTTTATTTTGTACTAAATCCCATGAAAATAAGGAAGACCTCTGATATGACAGAAAGACTCCATGAGATATGAGGTTATCATGGTGGTGACTACGAAGATTATTGTCTTCTGGGATATGATGCCATGTAGTCTGATAGACTGTTACCGACATTTCAGTCATGGTGTCTCCATCGTCAGGAACAGAGCACATTCTTCCAGTCTCTTCTACTGTGAAGATGGGAACCACACATCCTCCAAAACATTTGTATAGATGTTTTAAGTTCTCATGATGTTTCCCATGAAGGATGCTGTCTTCTGGGATGCGACGCCATGTAGTCTCAGTCACTGTTTCAGAGGAATGTACTGCCTCCATCTTCAAGGAGGCAGCACATTCCTCCAGTCTTTTCTACCCCAACATAGCGACAGGATGTTTCTCCAGAACATCTGTAGACCTACAAGACATCACATCCCAAAAGGCAGCAATCTTTGATGGAAGGATTCCATTTTGTAACATCTGTAACAGGTCTCTGTAGCTCTAATACCGGACAGGATGATAGCAGTGATGATGAATGGGAACGACTAAAACAACTTACCGAGCCTCTTACGCACTGGTTCCTGACTACCCGGTCGCTGGATGAGGAGAATGGGAACATGAGACTTCACCTGCCCTACATTGCGACAGCAGAAATTTGAGGTGCCTTCTTCAACATCAGTCTCAAACTCCTCTAATAGAAATCCCGGCACAAGGTTATGGGAGCGGCTATCCGCCAACTCGGCCGATGACATCTTGGAGTTCGTCGCAAGGTCTCGTACATGAGAACTCCAGATTGGACTCACACAAGCCAGTGACGAGAGTGACATCACCTGATCTTTGGATTCCTGTTCCCACAGAGCTGGGCAGGACAGTAATAGGAATTATTGTCATTACAACATAAATACTTAAGACCATGAGATATGTACATGAATATTGAGTTCCAAATCTCAGCCCAGACACCAGGAAACCTGACTGAGATCTCCATGGTTTTCCTCAGTCCTTACAGATAATGTCGGGATAATACCTTAAAATTTGACCCTGGTCCCCTCTATTCCACATCCTCTCCATTTCATATTCACTCATCCTCGTACCATCTGATCCATACAGTCTAAGACAATGACAGCATCATTGAATGAACCATAAATAAACAGTTTCAAGAAAAGAAGAAATTTATAATTTAAATGAAATCTTGAAAATTATTTCCTGCTAAAAACATACATCCAAGCAGTATTCTAAATAAGTTTGGTAGTGTACGCACAGCATAACAATTCTGGTCCGTTCACTCTGTTTTGTACACTTATCTCCAGTTGAGTTCTGCTACCAGAACAGGCTGTAAGGACAGTGAATGAAGCTGGCTCAGGATTATGTCCAGTGGTGGGCTTTTGTATTAGCGGTGTTGATCCTTTGGGTTCTGCTACCAGAGAGTTAGTTAATTAGAGTGATATGGAAACGGGTTGTAAGGATGATGGATGAAACTGGCTCAGGATTTGGGCTTTGGTATTAGCAGTGTTGAACTTCTGGGTTCTGCTACCAGAAAGTTATTCAGTACATGGCAACAAATCTCACCTTTCTCGTCTGGCACAGCTTTTGTCCGTTTTGAAGGCAGTTGCAATCTTGGGTCTAGTACGGTGAGTGCCAACACCAAGTGCGGTGGCAGCTGTGCAGGTGATGCTGCGCCTTTCAGGGCCTGCCACAGTGTTTCCTGATAATGCCATGATTCCTTATGATGCTGTGACACTCCATAAAACTCTGTCCACCAATCCTTACTTTCCCCCGTCTTACAGTCATTATCAGATGCATCACTGGACTGCAAACAAACCGTTCTCGTATCTAATGAATCCTCCCCCCCTTTGGAATCAGTTTTATTCTTCTCTGACACAACCTCCAAAACGTTTGCAGTGTGCAGTGATTCTAACAGCACTGCCTGTGAGAGGGGGCCTGTGAGACGGAACCTATTTAACGTGTCCTTCAACAATATCATTTGTACACTGCCTGTATGACTTAGGTACTTTGGAGTTCTTATAAATGGTACGTTTCTTGTTTCAAGTTTTGTCTTTTCTACGTCCTTCTTTCCATTAACTTTGCCGAGTTTACGTTTCTTCTCAGCTGGTGATGATGTGGTTTCATCTGATATTTTGGTATCAGAACTGGAAGAATTTTCAGCAAATTCTTTGCTAGGACATGACTGTTTGTTTAACTCAGTGTCTTTTACATCGTCAACTTCAACGAAATGGAATAACAAGATTAGTTCGTCTAACAGTTCTTGATAAAATGCAGGATGAACCCAAATCCATAAGGTTCTAGTTTCAACTACTTGCACACTGTCATCAGATTTAACTACTTCTGTTGGTTTCCACAAGAAACTAACTCTTCCTATGGCCCCATATGGGAATATGTTTTGATGGAACAGCATCACAGAACCTTCTCGTGCGCCAGTTAGAAATGCTTTTGCTCCAAATGTCAAGCCACAGTCTTTATTGGTAAGTTTCTGTAGTTGCTCTAAGAGCTGGTCCATTGGACCGTTCAATTCGATGCAGCTGTAGTAAGATATATCCTGTAAGCAGAATACCACGAGAGATGAGTTCTGACATGTGTGATGTGAGAAGAATAACTTTGAAGATTACTGAAGAAAGTCATCTTCTGGGATCTGGTGCCGTGTATTCTTGGTTTTAACCGACGTTTCAGAGGCGATACGTTCCCCCGAAACGTCGGTTAAAACCAAGAATACATGGCACCAGATCCCAGAAGATGACTTTATTCATAGTCATCGCCGTGGAAACCTCAAAACTTACATTTGAAGATTACTGACTTCTAAAATGTGACATTATGCAGTCTCGTAGATTGTTATGAATGTTTCACGAGAAATGCATCCTCTATCTTCAGGGTTGAAGAGTAAAATAAGCATGAAAAAACTGTACAGATACAGGGAGAGGCCAAAATGGTAGCAACAACCTACACACTGTATCCCAGAAGATAGCAGTGTTCACAGCCACTGCTGTGAGAACCTGCATTATCACTGGTAAACACGCTGTTACTTAGGGAGGGGTTTATGGGTTCAAACTGCACTCTTCAGTTTCAAAATTATGGAAAAAAAGAAGACAGAAAAATGATCATACTTCTCACGATATTTTGTTAAAAAGGAAAGACTGGGAAATGAAGAAAGCAACATAGGATGGTTCATTCTGTTCATGTAGGTAGTGATATATAATTTCTGTTAATGAAATTCTCAAACGTCCTCCCATCTGAAAGTAAATTATAGATGCATTCATTTCACACAGAACTGTCTGCAAATGGGACATGTTCTGAAATGATCTCCCCGTGTATTACAGGATCTTCATGTTTCACTTTTATTTTTTAAGATGAACAAATTCAGGGAATGTGATACAAATTTTGAGGTATTAATGGTAGTGATTCTTAAGATTGTCTTCTGGGCCATGACACCGTTTAGTTTTCTGGGTAGATATCAGTTTTCAAGATTCTCAAGTTCAGACTTTCACCTATGAGAAAAATGTACAGTGGCCCTGAAACGGGCCAGTTCTGTTTAAACTGCACACAGTTCCCTTTCCCTCCTTAAAACAACAGTGGATCCCTGGAAATGCCCATTCTTTCTCTTTGTACCTTTTCCTGCCTGTGACAATAAACCAGTATGGCCCTTATATGGGCCATTTTACCCCGTTTCTTCCCATTGGCTCAGATCACATTCCTTTTTTTACCCCTCTCCATGGGTCTCATGACCACCCTCTTTACAGCATCCCTATACAACCAAGCCTGCTCCTGAACTTACACACTTGAATCTGAAGAGGCAGACTGCGTGTTCCTCTGAAATGTAAGGATCCGCTCACAAAATAGCGCTGTCGCAACCCAGAAGACTACAAACTTATCCCAGGATCTGTCACTATACATCAATTTATAAGATTTAATAACAATGTTCTGAAAATACAGCCTTTCAGACCATAAAGAAAATGAAGAAATGAGGGAATTACAAAGTACAGGCTTCCAAGGTATTTGAATATAGACAGGATATGAAGTAAGTCAGTAATTAGGCATATTAGGGACATAAAGAGGTTCGAGAATGAAATAAAAGATGAAATTTAGATATATGCGCTTTATTATAAACATAAGAAGTTAACATTTTGGCTCTGAAGTATCTGTGTCACTTCACTTCCAGCCTTGACTGAGCAGATAGCAAAATGTACGCTTACCTGCAACAAGCAATGGTTGGCCGTGGCCCGATAGCAAGCTCGAAAGCTCTTATCATTTGGGAAATTTGCCAGTTTATAGCCCCATTTCTCAGTCATATGGAATCGCTTAGCATGCCATAAGTGGGTTTCCAGCCAAATAAATCTCTTCTGTCGACGATTGTACTCCAGAAGTAAATTTTGTGGACGACGTCTGAACTTTCTGCTAGGTCTCTTGGGTTCTGGGGGTAATCCACTTTTCATTAACTGAAGAGAAAAGAAAGTATTAATTTAAAATGTACAAAAGGTGTGGTCTTGTTCATTAGTTTGTCGCCATCAACCCAAAACTTAAGAGGTCTTTGTACCCACCTTTTTCACACTATATAAAAAAGAAATACTTCAACAGAACGTTTATATTCTTGCCAAAACGATTACAACAAAATTTTTCAAGGTAATATATAAGGTGGCAGCAGCACTGCTTTCACTTAAGGCGGTTACATGATTGTCATGTTGGTATTACTGACGATACAAAACTAAGAATTACATACAGTGTATGTTGTAACATGACAGTCATACCAACTTTCATGAAACCTATTAAATGGTTCATAAATATGTATTTAAAGTGGGTAAGGGATATAGACAGGACCAAGCCATAGCTCAGGTGATTAGATGCTGGTTTCTCATCACAGAGCCTCAGGTTCCATCCTGGGTGACTTCATGTGAGATTTCTGATGGATGAGGAGGCATTGGAGCAGGTTCCTCTCTGTTTTCTTGGTTTTTCCCTGCTGATCGTCATTCTACCATTGCTCTGTACCCATATATCACATCCTCTGAGGAATTCAATACTCCTGCCTGACCAGGTGGCACATTATCATATCCTCAAACATCCTCAATCTTCAAGCCTGGGGATTCATCTCTGACCTGGCACCTGGCTAGTTCCCAGTGTGAGGAAGTTGAGGGTCTTTACAAGGGTACAGACACACATATGTAATGGTGCCACACGACTGCTCTCCCTATAAAATTAGGCAAGTAATTAAAAGTAAGAAAAGTAAAGCTATCCCTTTAACAGGCCATGGAGGCCCAGAGGGTTCTGAGACGTTGAAGCTCCCACATTTTCTAGACAATCGGCTCGCAGATGGCAGCAAGGTAGTCAGCCCTACACCAGCCACCCTTTACCCCCAGGAAGACTCCTAGTACTCATTTCTGTTAGAGGCTGAGCCAACCCCAGGGCCACAGTGTGGCTGGAAGGATTAGGTCAATCGAAAAAAATCCAATGACCTCATCGGGACTTGAACCTGCGACCTTCCAACTTGTAGCATAGTGCCTCAGCCAACTCCGCTACCGCATGCCCAAGTAAAGTAAAAGAAAATATTAGGAAATAACAAATCAGAAAACCATGCTAACGAAACACAGACCTGTTGCATGTGAGCCTCCCTCAATCTTCGTGGCAAGCGTTTAGAAGTGCGACTCATAACTCGTCTTCTCATATGTTTCGGCAGCTTCTGGAATACCAAGCCTGTCCTCTGAGGATCTTCTACATAAACAATAAAAATCAGTACAACTACCACAGACAACGAAAACTGTTACAGACTACATCGAAGACCAAGTGACCAAACAAAAGCTAAATATGTGAGATTTTATGTGACTATGAAGACAACTGTCTTCTGGTATGTGACACCGTGTATCCTGGTAAAAGTTCACAGACATTTCTTAACAAAATACTGCCTCCGTCTTCAGGATCAAAGAGTAAGATAAGCAAGCAACCAGCATGAAATAGGGTGGATTTCTTGCTCGGCTTACTCTTAGACCCTGAACACAGAAGCAATAAATACCTCTGAAACATCAGTGAAACTTCTACTGGCATCATATCCCAGACAATAATAAAAAAGGATAAAGCTATCCCTGTAACAGGCCGTGAAGGTCCATACAGTTGTGAAATGTCGAGCCTCCCATATTTTCTAGGCAATCACCTCACAGATTGTGGTGAGGCTGACAGCCTTACACACCAGCCAGCCGCCCTTTACCCCCAGAAAGTTTCCTGGTACTCATTTCTGTTAAGAGACTGAGTTGACCCCAGGGTCATGTAGAGGCTGGAAGGATTGGGTCAACTGAAAAATCCAATGACCTCATCAAGAATCAAACCTGCAACCTCCCGGCTTGTAGCATAGTGCCTCAACCAACTACACTACTACATGCCCCTCTCAGACAAGAGTACCCTTCAAGAACCAAACACCCACATCCTTCAGTTCTCGCAGCCTGCATCCAAGATATGATTTCAGCTTTCAGGGTTTACTAGCATTGTCAGTTGTTTCAGCACACACCACAGTCCCCTGCCATTGGATACCATGACACTCCACACCCCTGCTCCACCTTCCATTGAAGCCTTTGTCTGAACCAAGGAACAAGAAGGTGTTTCAAAATATCTCTTGTGGCTAAGCCCTCTCAATCATGTGACCATCAGCACACAAATCCAGCATCGGAACTCTCAACACATGTCACTCCATTATACTTGCCTATGGCTTCAGTTAATGCTGCTATTTCTTGTGCTCGAGCTGCTGCGAACCTTCCAACAGAAAATTCTAAAGGAAGGTTCTGGGTGCCACCAAGCAGTATATCAAACTGTGGTTTGCTGGCTGCCATGTTGCTTTCTGTCATATTTTAGATATTAGTGGGAAACCTGTAAAAAAAAAAGCAAACAATAATTAATTTAGCATCTGTTACTTCTAACATTGCTTGAGATGGACTTCTCTTCTGGAGAATCCATTCTTCTTCTTCTTGTTCATGAAGATACCCACTTCAAAAGATCCAAATGTGTCATATACATCATTGGGAGTAATGGGAGCTTGAGTAGCTCAGTCAGTATAGTGCCTAGGATACGGGCTAGATGACCGGGATTCATTTCCCTGTAGGAGCATATATTTTTCTCTTCATCACCGTGTCTTGACTGGCACTGGCTAAAACTGTAGGACATGTTTAACAAAGAAAACTTAATGGGGAGAGTAAGGCTACTCATTGTAATGGCCATTCCCTTCTTTAACATTTTACACTTACACAGTATTTAAGTTGGGACATGATGTCATACCATTTCTTTTAGCGACCAACAACATATATACGTAGAAAACGCCGATGACTTCAAGTAACTTCGGAAAAAATACAGACGTTGTTAAAAGCTGAAAGCAAAATATTCGCCACATCATATTCCATTAACATTTTTGTCAGTCATAACTGAACTACGTTTCCTTACCCTACTAAAATACTCAAGTTAAATTTGTTAGGTTAACAACTGTACATCACATACTTCGACATTCCACGACCACTGTTTTGATCGAAATGTGTAATTCCAGCATATTCACACGANTGGGGAAATTCTTCCCATAGTTCTAGTGTTTTTCTTCTCCAAAAAAAAGCCATCAGAGCGATGTTGGGATATGGTAACAGAGTTTCGTGTAGAAACATATTTAAAGAGTTAAACATTTTACCATTTGCATCGCAATACATATTTTCATTGTTAATATTTGTATTGCAGAATAAACATCTTTTTTCATCAAATATTGACTCTCATGCTATAAATACCAGACATAGACAAGATCTTTATCTACCTCAAGCTAACTTAACTAGTTTTCAAAAAGGAGTTTACTACGCGGGTATAAAAATGTTTAATAAACTGCCCATAGAGATCAAGAACTCATCTCATAATTTTAAAAAGTTTAAGGTTGAATTAAGATATTTTTTGAATACACATACATTTTATACTATAGAAGAATATTTAAACAGATAAATTTTAGTATTTATTGTATTCTTGTATCATCTAGACGAGCATAACTATGCATGTATTTTATGTTTTATATTATTTATGATATGTTTTATATCCATTCTTGGATCTTTGTAACTTATTATTGTTGAATATTGTAGGATCCAGATAAGCATAACTGTGTATTTTATGTTTTGTATTATTTATGACATGTTTTATATCCATTTTTTGGATCTTTGAAACTTGTTATTGTTTGATTCATTGTACTATCTAGTCGTGTAATTTATGCATGTATCCTGTTTTATATTTAGTTCTGTGACATGTTCTATATCCTTTTTTGGATTTCTTGAACAAATATAAATACAATACAATACAATACTGCAGTACAGGAAGAAAGAAGAGCTAGCTCAGTCAGTATAGTGACTAGGGGATGGGCTGATTGATGAGGGTGGAATATCTCTCCATGCCACAGCGTCCACAACATAGTTGGGGCCCACCCGGCTTCCTATCAGATCGATACCAGGGTCTCTTTATCCAGGACCATATTGGCTGCGTGTGCAGATAACTGTTTGCCTCCAACTAACATGTTCAGTTTATATTTGTACACGTATTTACTTTTATTGCAGTCAGGCAGTTGTAATAGACAACACTGTGTATTTGTCTGGAGTTCTTGGTTTGGATCCAAGCACAAACAAGTTGGTTGATGGAAACACTGTTGCCCAAGCCAAGCAAGCCTTCATTAATATGAAGAACATTCTGGAAGCAGCAAATTCTAGTTATGATAATGGTAATGTTACTCTCTATAACTATTGCACAAACTTCATCCCATAAAAATGGTTAGTTGTATGATGTATTTCAGTTTATTTTGGTCATCATCAGGTGCAGATCATTGCTCAAAACATAGGCCCAAGAACTGTAAATTATATGTACAGAGTCATCACAGCTTAATGTCTCAATTTTAGGAATTAGTTTGTAAGATTGTTGTTTATTAAGGCAACAAAGTTTACTACATTCAGGTCCATCTTCTGTTCTTTTACGAGAGTGAAGTGGTAGGGTTCAATATTGTTAAAATGTATAAAATAAATAATGGTACTAATATAAAAGATTCTTTAAGTCCATTACGTATGTATCATTCATATGATAATCTAGTTTATTTATATTATGTTTCAGCATCCTGTGGCATTCAGGCATCATTTTTTGTAGTCTTGTTTTCTCTCTATCCTTCCCCTTGGCGCGGCAGCTCAGGGTGAGCTTTGGTCTCCCGAAAAGTCTGCCTCCATTCTTCTCTGTTCTTCCATCCATCCTAGGCTTTTCTGGTTTCTGAACCATGGTGTGGGGTTCTTAGCCTCACACCAACCCCCAACGTGGAAAATCAGGGTGTCCCTCTTCGTCTGGCTCCTACCGCTTGACCTGTCTGGCATGGGCGACCCTACCAGTAGCTACGCTACCGCTATCATAGC